GAGCACCCCAAGGCGCTCATCACGTGCTACAACTGTGGCCGCAAGGGCCACGTGGCTGCGGAATGCCGGGCGCCTCGTCAACGACAGCCGGGACGGTCGGACGGCGCTCCAGCCTACAGGCCTCCGCATCGCAACCCGGCAAGTCGCGGCACCCCACATGCTCGGCCTGTGCACACACCTGTCCCCACCTCGCGCGTTTCGGTGTACGGGCCTCGGGGTACGCCCATTGGGTTGTTGGGTGGCGGCGGGGTCGAGAGGGTGCTCGGGCCGGGGCAGTGGACGGAATTGGCCCACCGCATTGTTGCTGCGTCGGCAGGCTCGTCCGTGGTCGCGGGTCGCATTGACGGGGTCGAGGTGCGTATCCTCGTCGATACGGGAGCTTCGGCGACCATTGTGTCAGACTTGATTTATAATATTCTTCCCGTTCAAAGCCGCCCCTTGCTCCCAGTCACCGTTCCGTGTTACGCAGCGAACGGGGGTTCGCTGGGTATCATAGGCCAAATTCGAGCACAAATTTGCATTGGCGATATCAAACTCTCCGGGCCGATATTAGTCTCGTCCTCGCTGGCGGTTCCGTGCTTGTTGGGGACGGACTTTTTGGGCAAAATGCCGATTAAAATTCTAATTGATCAGGGTTGCATCGAGCTTCCCTCGGGCCGACGGGTAACATTCCTGCCTTCCCCTGTCACCTCAAGGGCAGCGTGCGCGTCGATACAAGCGTTCGTCACTCGGACGGTGCGTGTACCTCACGGGGCGCAAATGCTCGTGCCCCTTCGCTTGCGTCGGCCTTTCGTGCCCGGTGTTCTGGACCAGGGAATTCTGTTAGGGCCCTCGAGGGCTGGGGAAAACGGGCTGGATCTGGTGGCCGCTCAAACGCTCGTTAAGGGGAGCGATGACCCGTTTATCCTCGTCCTTAACGTTGGCGTACAGACGGCCGTCGTTCCTCAGGGAACTGTGCTCGCGCACGCGACACCGGTCCCCGTGGTAGACACGGTTATGGGTAATGTGGGGACCGATCCTCTGGCTCAACCGCATTCTGAGGGGGACGATAGTTGGATGGACACACTATGTTCGGGCACGAGTGATCTGTCCGACTCCCAGCGTGCCGGCCTACGCACCCTTCTGACGGAATTTTCCGATGTTTTTAGTAAACACAAATATGACATTGGGTGCACGAAATTGTTGCGTCACCACATTGACACGGGTGACAATGCCCCGGTACGCCAGAATCCCTTTCGGTTAAGTCCGGCCGAAAAAGATCATGTCAAATTGGCAGTGGATGACATGCTGGCTGCAGACATTATAGCCCCTTCCACCAGTCCATGGGGAGCACCCATAGTGCTTGTCAAAAAGCACGATGGGTCCTTGCGATTCTGTGTGGATTTTCGCCGCCTTAATAAGATCTCCGTGGCCGACGCGTATCCACTTCCCCGGATGGACGAATCTCTGGATGCTCTGGCTGGCGCACGTTTTTTTTCTACGTTGGACTTGTTATCCGGATTTTGGCAACTCCCATTGGATGATGAGTCCAAGCCAAAGACTGCGTTTCGCACACCACACGGCCTATTCCAATTTAACCGGTTACCTATGGGATTACACTCCGCTCCGGCGACATTTCAGCGCCTTATGGAACTGGTTTTGGCTGGCTTACAGTGGAACGTCTGTTTGATCTATCTGGATGACGTCATCGTGTTCAGCAAGACATTTGACGAACACCTTTTGCGCTTGCGCGCCGTGTTCCTCAAAATGCGTGCTGCGAATTTGAAATTTAAGCCGCAAAAGTGCCACCTGCTACGGGAATCCGTACGCTATTTGGGGCACATCGTCAGCCGCTCGGGCATATCCACCGATCCCGCAAAGACGCAGTGTGTCAACTCCTGGCCAACCCCCACCTCGGTGGCTGAGGTCAGGAGTTTCATTGGATTTGCGTCTTATTACCGGCGGTTCGTCGCGGATTTCGCGACCATTGCTAAGCCCTTACACGCTCTGACGGCGAAGGGAGTGAAATTTCACTGGGGCCAGGAGGAGGAGGTCGCTTTTTGTTCCCTTCGCGACGCTCTCGTGCGGGCCCCTCCATTGAGCTACCCCGATTTTTCGGAACCCTTCCTGCTCGATACAGACGCCAGCAATACGGGCATTGGGGGTGTGCTCTCACAGGTGATCTGTGGTGTGGAACGCGTCGTGGCTTATGGCAGTAGGGTTTTGTCTCCGGCGGAACAGAGATACTGCGTCACGCGTCGGGAACTCTTGGCTATTGTATTTTTTATGCAACAGTATCGCCCATACCTGTACGGTCGGCATTTCACTGTCCGTACGGACCATGCGGCATTACAATATGCCTTGCGGGTGACACAGCCTTCGGGGCAATTGTCCCGATGGCTCGAAATCCTTCAGGATTATGATTTCACGACCACATATCGGAAGGGTGCTCGGCACACTAATGCGGATGCGCTGTCTCGCCTGCCGCCCGCCTCAGATTGCGCTTGTCTCAGGGGATCGGGGCGTTGTAAGCCGCCAGAGGATAGCCCCCCCTTAGATATCCCGGTTCTCGCTGCTGCCACTGAGGACCCCTTGCCTGAGGGTCCTGTCGGGGAGGGAGGTGCGGACTCCTTGCTGGGGTTGTCCGTTGCTGAATGGGGGCGCCTCCAGATGGAGGACGCATCCCTCCTCGCGTTGCGTCGTCGCGCAGGGGGTTCCGTGCGGGGGGTCGCGGGGATTGATTCATACGGGCTGCTCCAGGGGCTCCTAATGCATTGGGATGGGAGGGCCTGCCGTCACAGGCTTGTGGTGCCATCCCCTTTGCGGGGTAAGGCCGTTTGGGCCGCACACGAGCGGCTTTTGCACCTGGGGACCCACAAGACCCTTGCCGTGCTCCAGCTGGATTTCTTCTGGCCGGGTATGGCAAGGGATGTGGATGACCTCCTGGGTGCATGCACTCAGTGCGCCCAACGAAAACCACCAGCGAAAGGCGCCTGCCCACCGCTACAATCTATCACGGTCTCTCGGGTTAACGAACTCGTCGCACTCGATATATTGGGGCCCTTCCCTGCGACCCCTAGGGGTAACAAGTACCTGCTGGTTGGCGTGGAATATTTCACCCGATGGCCTATGGCATGGCCTCTTGCTAACCAGTCAGCAGCAGCCGTTGCCGAGGCCTTTGTCCAGGGCTATGTCCTCGACAAGGGTGCTCCCGAACGGCTGCTGACTGACCAAGGGAAGAACTTCTCTGGCGTCCTTCTGCACGAGGTGTGTGCGCTTCTTGGTACGAAAAAGATTCGCACATCCCCCTATCACCCACAAACCGATGGCATGGTGGAGCGGCTGCATAGGACGCTCACATCTATGTTGTGTCACCAGGTGTGTGACTCCCAGACCGATTGGGACCTTCACATTCCGGGGGTTTTGGCCGCCTATAGAATGGCTCCTCACGCGGCAACCGGCTTCTCGCCGTTCTTTTTGATGTACGGTCGCGACGTTGACCCACCAATTGCGAATCAGCTCCGCGTCTCGGAAACCAGCAGAAAATCGAAATTGGCCGACCACGTTAAATTTAATATCCTGAGGTTGACCGAGGCGCGGGAGGCAGCGGCCCAAAACTCTTCCTCTCGGCAGAAGGCCAACGAGAGGTTGCGATCGCGCCAATCACGCACACATGCGTGGAAGCCAGGCGATCAAGCCTGGCTGCACTGCCCTCAGGTGCCGTTGGCAACCTCGGCGAAATTGTTGCGGCCTTGGAGGGGCCCTGTGGTTATTGTGAAGGTTATGCGGCCGCAGTGCGTTCGTATCCAGTGGGGGAAACGCCGCTGGTACGTACACCCCTCGCGTCTGAAGCCGTTTGTGGCGCCGCGCGTCCCTCCACCACATTACACAGGCCGAGCATGTGATGTCTCCGCTGACTCCCGGACGGCGTCTTCGTCACCTGCCCTTGATGCTTCGCTAACTGTTCCACCTTCAGGCGCCTCAAGAATGACGGCTTCCAGCGCGCCTGCGCCACCCGGTGGGGACGGAGTTTGCCCTTCCGGGGTGACGGAAGACGGTGCACCTGCACAGCCGGTGCCCACTGCTGGGCCGACCGGACCCTCCCCCTACGATGGACCCGCAAATCGGACTCGCGCCAAAATGCGCCGCTTGTTGTAAAAATGGTTCTTGTTACTCTTGTTGTTCACTGTTAAGTTTTCTTGCTGCGTTGATGGGGGGGGCGGGTACAATGTATATGTGTATATAGTGTAATTTTGTATAGGTGGGTTGGGTTATTTATTGGGGTGTTCGTTCTTATGAGGCACGCACGGGTGGGGGTTTGTTGTGTTTATTGTTCGAGTATTGTTGCAGCCGGGACGGCTGCGGGTTACACGGGAGGGGGTGATGTAGGGGTGCTATGGGGAATAAACACATGACACGGGAAGGTGTGGTTCACCCACACCTTGGTGGCTACAACAACGTCCGCTAAGGCTCCAGTGGGTATAAAGTGCGGGGAGCCAGGGAGCTCGGGGCAGAGTGTGGGGCCCGAGGCTGAAGCAACCAGTGAAGAAAGAAGGCCAGCTAGGTGAGACCCTGGAACTCCTGTGACCGCTGCCCTTTTCAGGGCCGGCACAGCAAGCCAGTGGTGCGGCCCCAGAGCCCCAGAGTCAGAGTCCTTCTAAGGGCCGGTCTGGTCGGCGGGGTGCCGAGATCTGTGCCTAACCAGGGCCGGATCTGATAGCCTCCCTTAGAGCCCTACCCGGAGGAACTGGGAGCCTAGAGCTTAGGCTAGAGAGCCTGGGGTGTGTTCCTGAGTTATACGGGTGGAGGGGCCGCTACCCCTTCTAGTGTAACCCTTGTTAAGGTTTAAATAAATAGTGCTGCTTCTATTCTGCCGTCTCCGTGTCCTGGAACCCACTACAATAGCACCCACAAACGTAGCCTATTATATATATAGGGTTTCCATTGTAAGGCCAATGTAACAAACAATGCCACCGAATTTTGGTTTGCGCTTTGCGCCGACGGGGAGACGCGCCACCCACCCAGCATTTGTTTCCGAAGCTCTCTCGTGCGTCCGCCGTCGAGTGAAGAAGGGACTCTCCCTGCCTCGGCTCCCGCAGCACAGCCCCACTCGATCAGCAACTGACGCCGGCACACGAAAGACCACGGGCACAACAACGCGGGTTTGATTGCGGTGCGTTTTTACGGCGAGGAATTCCATTTACGGAAATGATTTACTGCGTTGACGCACGCCGAGATAAATTAATTTGTCGCACTGCCATATAGGCGAGCAACAAGCAACTAAAAGTATAAGTAAAATACATGATTGGTGTAAGACTCGTAAATAAATCGTGTGAGGACAAAGTAAAACGGATGCCACTGGACAAGGCCAATTTGTAAAAACGCGGTCATGCCAAGTGTCTTTGACAATGTCCTGTTTCTCTTTGTAATATATTCATTCAATGCACACTGGCATATTTTCGTCAGTGTATTTCAACAATCTCACACTTTGGCAGAATTTTTCTATAAAAGATGCTACGCCTGATGAGAATGAAAATACAAGAGTTTATGATTTAATCAACACCGCCGCTTTGATTGTCACTATATTTAGGATGAGTATTAAAATTATATTTCTTTATTGAACTATTTTTTCCAGAATGATTCATATTATTACGATAACTGGATTTTTATTTTTATACGGACTCGTTCGCACAATTACATTGCAATTTTGTCATCCAATGAAGTGCACTGACATTTTATGTGCAGTGCAATGTAAGATTAACGTTATGTTATACGTAACAGAAAATAACAGCATTTCTTTTACATGTCTTATTAGTACTGCCACTCATTTGGTTACAATAGGCTTGAAGATTTCTTAGTGTGAAGCGGAAATCTTAAATGATTGTGCTATGCATGTTTTACTGGATACATATTTGACATTGCAATATTTTCCACGAGCAAAGCATTTTTAACTATCAATTAACAGCAAATTGTAATGACACATAAAGCAGAGTAACTTTACACCAAAGCTTACTTACAGAAAACCACATTTAACACTTTATTCAGAGCGCTAAAACAATGCGCCCGTTTAATTTCTCAATATGAACATGTTAAAACAAACCGCATGGTATTTGAAAACCAGATGATCGATTTTAACTTTGCGTGCGTCACCTCGCTTTGATTAAACAAGTCGTGGCACTGGAGAGAGCATTTGACGAGCGGTTTGGCAATTAAACATGACGAGCTGTAACCTGTGCGAGGGTGCGATGCGAGGCCTCCACTGCCAGCGAGAAGGCCGTGCTCCGGCTCTTGTTCAGCGCATCGACGTCCGCCCCATTTTGCAGGAGGCACTCGGCAATTTCCTGCGCGCACCCACGGTAATCTTACGTGAAGAGCGTAATCGCCGTCTGCGGCGAGTATAAACGTCTGCACGTCGCGTGGAAGCGAACGCGTGTTTTACCCCGCGTGCCATCTTGGAAGTGTCCACGCATTTCCAAGTTATGAAAGAGGGTGCCGCGTACGTACACGTGCGTGAAATAGAGTGAGTGTAGAGGGTGACAGTTATTGGGGGGGGAAGAAAGTGTAGAGTAAAATAGACTCTGCCCTACATTTTTGTTCCATTGTCGATAGAGTGAGTTCCACTATGTGGGATCGTAATTTGTGCTTGTCTTATCAGTGGACTGGCTCCCACCATGGGAATGTTGAATATCCAACAGTGGCCCAGGGACATCAATTAAAGTATGTTAGTTTAAATAGGGAGATGCTTCGATTATTATTTTTTATTAAGGTAAAGGGCGGGTTGCAAGCCACTGAAAATGTGAAAGATGTTCCCATCTGGGCCATGATACATTTCGGTCAATTTAAGGCAACTGTTGCCAGCAATCATCACTGGAAATGCATTTACTATGGGCAACTATAGCAACTTGTAATAGCAATGGCATAAAGTGACGATGTTTTGCCTAACCAATGAAAACAGTTTATCGATACGCATGTTTAAATAACAAGGATTAGTCTACAGAGTGCACAACCTCGAGTCCACTATGTGACCTCTGTCTATAATCTGATTGGAAGCTGTCACCCGAGTTGCCCACCAGGGGAAGCCGCGATGCGATTTGTCCAGGATTGGGTACCAACATGTTTTACAATAGAAATCAGTGCGGTAACCATTGCCAGTGTTGATTGCCAGCGATTGTTCCCAAGTAATATTCAGAATGATCAAACAGAGAAACAGTGACATTTACAGGATGATGTTAAAATTGTATATATGCTCAAGAGATTTCGGAGATCCAGAGTGAATTTCAGAGACATTTCCAGAAAAGGACTAACAAGGGACAGTTGTTCACCACATTCGCACTGTGGCATGTCCATCAGTCTCCATGTGTGCGTAAGGCATTAGCAGTGCTTCTTAAAGTCTTTAGTATAGTGGCCTCCCAATCAAGACCACTGCTGCCTGCGTCTCCCCCATCCACCCTCCAGACCCAAAACATCCAACTAAGGTTTCTAAAATTGTATTACAGAGCATGTCTCTAGTCAATAAGGGGTTAGAAAATAATTGGTCTATGTTGAGTATCAATGTGGTTTGTCGCCACAATGCGGTGCTGATGTTCCCAGCAGACATTACAAATTTATCCTGCACGGTATCCATTTCCGCAGTCTGGGCCCTCCCTGAAGGCATGTAACTTGCTGACCCGCCCATATTCGACATCTGTAAAAAAAAAAAAAAGAGCTTCATAGCTCATCGGATTCCTCCAGTCTAAATAAAATAATCTGATCTGACAAACCCACGAGTTGAGAACCGCTGCCTCGGTGCATCAAGAGCTCTAGGTTGAGAAAGTCTGGGTGGGGAGGGAAAGCCCGCCCGCCCGCCCGCCCGCCCGCCCGCCCCCCTCTCACGACGTGTCCTCGGCGGGCGGCGACGTGCAGGGGGGCGTCCCCGCTGCACGGATCACGAGCGTCCAGCAGCGTCGGACGGGCGACTCGAAGGAACGCGGCGGCGCCGCGGGCGGCACGCGGCGCGGGCTCCTGCACTGCGCGCAGCAGTGCTCTCCGCCACGCGTCCACGTCGCTCGCAAACACCTCGTACAGGAACCTTGTACAGGTGGGGGGCAGAGAGGGTAGAACATCGGCGAGCAACTGCAGTGTGAACGCGCGTGAAGGCTGAGGCGTAGAAACACGAAGTGGGGGGGGGGGTGATATGATCATTGTTAAACAAACTTTAAATAAATGTCAGTCGCTAAACAGCGACAATCTGGTCTGCTTTAACCTGTCGTACATTCCGCTCGAGCTGCAGCGTTTTTTTTTATGTAGCTATTAGAATCCAGAAGGGGGGGGGGGCTAAAATCGTAAATAGGAGGGCCTCAGCTCCCTACATCCCCTCCCGTGCTACAGAGCTGACGCCGGCGTACGCTATCATTTCGAGTGTTGCGCTCAACTTCGACGCACGACGGCTCGTTCAGATTCCTTCGGGGAGAAGAATTTCGTTTTTTTGTGCAACTTTTATTGTGCTGCAAGCTTTCACATTTTAAGATGGTTGGACCGTGTCACGTGCACAGCACAGAAAGTAGCATGGCAAGTTATATCACAGACTCTCTAAATTCCACGTTACAGCAGATGGTGCACTGATAATCCCCTGTAATTCTCCGTGAAAATGACCCTGTGCCAGTGAGAATCTAGCTGCCAAAATTGACCCTGCCGGTGAGCACATAGACAAGCCACATAAAGCATACTACAAAACTAAATTCCAGTGGTTGAAGCAGACATTCATAACCGGGGGAATCTCTAGGCGGAGGAGGTGTCAAGATTGAGAAGTGCAGAAGGGTGGTGCAGCCCCCTGGATAACCAAATATTCACCATCAAACGTCCGTGTACAAGGTTAAGTCACGCGTATGGCATACGCTGCGGGGAAACTATTTCCCCCGTGATTCCCCTGGCTTTATTTGCTGCCAAATCATAAATGTACTTCAAACACGGCGTGTTGTTTAGTTGCACCAATCCAGTGCGTACAATCGAGAAGTTGGTGGCGATATGTACGAGTGCAGGCAATTAGTGAGATTTGTGCATTTCTTGTAAAAAAAGATGTTGCTCATAAATCAACTGTCGCTTCCAATCCCCTCCTGACATTCAGCTGCTGGCCATAACGTAAAGTACTGGTAAGTAAAAAAAATATAAAACATTTACTGCGCTCAACAGTGAAATTAAATCGGTGTTTTGGCAGCGATGGCTTTTTAGGTCTCATTCTGGCAATTAATCTGTCACTCTGAATCAACAGTCATGTTAAAAATGTAAATGTACGTGGCTGTGTTAGCTTAGCGGCATACTGGGTAACAAAAGTTAAAATTTAGATCTGGATATTACACGTAGATTTCATAAAACACCTAGTAATATGGTCTCAGATAAAGATGTGGATAATCTTAGAGACCTTGCCTCCAGACTGTGGTCTTATTCATACGAAATGTGTTCAGTTACAAAGTGAGAGTCGTTACTGGACCATTGCAAACAATGAGTTGGGATGAACCTTAACATAAAATATATAATGCAATTAAGTAATCAATGAATTTCTTGATTGATTCATTCATAACTCAATACATTATTTAATTGGTTGACTGCTCAGTTACTTAATTTAATATGTGATTATTGTATTAATTAATTCATTCAGTAACCTGCCAAAACAGGCCTTCCAGTAACACAATAATACCTCAGTATTGATCTTTGCTCCGGTTGCCTCTCAATGTAATATTCCTATTGGTGTGTCGAACCGGAATGTTTCAGCCAGATTTGAAGGTAGATGCCTGAAATCCGGTGACTTTGATGGGTGTTGGTGAATGACACTGGGCTGGAGCCAGTGTACTCAAAAAACTGACCTACAAGGTAATGTTGTTCCTATACAAGAACTATAGCACGTCGTGAGAATTTTATTGTTTTATATTTTTATTATTTTATTGTTTCCCTTCTACGTGACTTTACCGAAAGAACGAAGAATATGAATTCCTGCAGTCACGAAAGCTTTAAATAAAAAAAATATATAGCAAGTAGGTTAATGAAAATACAATACATTTGTGTGGAAGTTAAGCATTATCTCCTTGTATTATATTGCATTGCTCCTAACAGTTCAGCTTCCTCCCATACAGTGAGGGAAAAAAGTATTTTATCCCCAGCTGATTTTGTACGTTTGCCCACTGACAAAGAAATGATCAGTCTATAATTTTAATGGTAGGTTTATTTGAACAGTGAGAGACAGAATAACAACAACAAAATCCAGAAAAACGCATGTTAAAAATGTTATAAATTGATTTGCATTTTAATGTGGGAAATAAGTATTTAACCCCCTCTCAATCAGAAATATTTCTGGCTCCCAGGTGTCTTTTATGCAAGTAACGATCTGAGATTAGGAGCACACTCTTAAAGGGAGTGCTCCTATCTCAGCTTGTATAAAAGACACCTGTCCACAGAAGCAATCAATCAATCAGATTCCAAACTCTCCACGATGGCCAAGACCAAAAGAGCTCTCCAAGGATGTCAAGGACAAGATTGTAAACCTACATAGGCTGGAATGGGCTACAAGACTATTGCCAAGCAGCTTGGTGAGAAGGTGACAAAAGTTAGTGCGATTATTCGCAAATGGAAGAAACACTAAAGAACTGTCAATCTCCCACGGCCTGGGGCTCCATGCAAGATCTCACCTCGTGGAGTTGCAATAATCATGAGAACGGTGAGGAATCAGCCCAGAACTATACGGGAGGATCTTATCAATGTTCTCAAGACAGCTGGGACCATAGTCACCAAGAAAACAATTGGTAACACAGTATGCCGTGAAGGACTGAAATCCTGCAGTGCCCGCAAGGTCCCCCTGCTCAAGAAAGCACATATACATTCCCGTCTGAAGTTTGCCAATGAACATCTGAATGATTCAAAGGACAACTGGGTGAAAGTGTTGTGGTCAGATGAGACCAAAATGGAGCTCTTTGGCATCAACTCAACTCGCCGTGTTTGGAGGAGGAGGAATGCTGCCTATGACCCCAAGAACACCATCCCCACCATCAAACATGGAGGTGGAAACATTATGCTTTGGGGGTGTTTTTCTGCTAAGGGGACAGGACAGCTTCACCGCATCAAAGGGACGATGGACGGGGCCATGTACCGTCAAATCTTGGGTGAGAACCTCCTTCCCTCAGCCAGGGCATTGAAAATGGGTCGTGGATGGGTATTCCAGCATGACAATGACTCAAAACACACGGCCAAGGCAACAAAGGAGTGGCTCAAGAAGAAGCACATTAAGGTCCTGGAGTGGCCTAGCCAGTCCCCAGACCTTAATCCCATAGAAAATCTGTGGAGGGAGCTGAAAGTTCGAGTTGCCTAACGTCAGCCTCGAAACCTTAATGACTTGGAGAAGATCTGCAAAGAGGAGTGGGACAAAATCCCTCCTGAGATGTGTGCAAACCTGGTGGCCAACTACAAGAAAAGTCTGACCTCTGTGATTGCCAACAAGGGTTTTGCAGAGGGGTCAAATACTTAATTCCCTCATTAAAATGCAAATAAATTTATACAATTTTTGACATGCGTTTTTCTGGATTTTGTTGTTGTTATTCTGTCTCTCACTGTTCAAATAAACCTACCATTAAAATTATAGACTGATCATTTCTTTGTCAGGGGGCAAATGTACAAAATCAGCAGGGGATCAAATACTTTTTTCCCTCACTGTAAGTAGAAGTGTTGAAAGTTAAATAGGCAAAACATCACAACCAGGACCCTTCGAAAAAAAGAATCGTAATCCTACTCAAGGTAGGCTTCGACACCTACAAATAAAAGAGGGTCACATGCCCTGTGCTTACTTCCTCCAGGTCAATTAAGACGGAATAAATTATTGCATCTCTTTCAATCATCACTTACCCTCGCACATTTTTTTCTTCATCTGCTTAAATCACAAGGCCATGAAACACAGCAACAATCACGTTTTAAATTCATATGAATAAAAAAAGTGTTTGGCTTGTGTTTGTGATTCACTTTCAAGCAACAACTATCAGTGGGAATCCAAATGTAGCAGGCTTATTATCCCTCTCCTATATTGATGCCCGATGCAGCAGCTGCCATCACATTACTATACCTTGCATGTCTCAAATAGCTGCATGCACTTAAATACTTACTGCCAAGCATGCAAATCATGAAGGCCACCCAGGAAGAAAGATTGAATGAATCCATGGGAATGGAGTGATCGATAGGGGACAGATGTACCGATCCATGGTGGGTATGCACCATGAGCTCACTCCCACGATCCGTCAATAAAAACTCTCAGGGGACTGCCCCACGTTGTGTTATTTTACCATTTTAAATGCATGCGCATTTCACAGAAATCTTTGCTGTGCAAGCCCCATCTGGATAAACCTCACCGCAAGGGCAAATGATGTGGCTGATGGATCCAGTGTTCAATGTTGCTCAATGACAACAAAAAAGCCAATGTATTTTTACAGAAAATAAAATAAACTACAACTTAAATAAGCGTTTTTATTTTACCACTGAAGCTATACAGCTATTTTTCAGAAGCAGCCTGGCCACAAAATGAAAAACCAGACAACCCAGAGAAAAATCCACACAACCATGGGGAAAACATGCAAACTCCAAATATCCAAGTGTCAGGATCTAACCCACGACCTCCTGCATACCAGGCCAGGTAGTTAACGTCTCGCCACCATGGCACAGTGATAGCACTTGCGCCTCACAACAAGGATCTGGGTCAAATTCCCAACTCGAGCACCTTTCTGCGTGGAGTTTATTGTTCTGCAAGGGTTTCTTCCAGGTGCTCCAGCTTCCTCTCACAGCTAACATCAATCTCATGAGTGTTGGCCGAACATCCCAAATTAGGGCCTCCTGAAAGAGAGCCTTTGTGGCTTTCCTGGGTAAATAATACAATATTATTATTTGTTATTCAGGGCTCACCTCACTGAATAAGTATAATAATAAAAACAATAAATCTATCCAAGTAGGACATCTCGCTCCTCAATCATGCGACCCAATCGCTTGGAGAAGATGACCCAATTTACCCAAACTTACTTTGCGTTGGCACCGAGACGCTTGCTCTTCGAAGTGTTTTCAAAGTAAATCTGAAACAAGACACAATTTGACGAGAACATAACTTTGAGCACATGAAATGCGTTAAGCTAAAGGTGCCGCATTGCAATTCCTCGCTCATGCTCATGTTGGCGGAAGCACCATCCACAAGAAGAAGCTCCAGTGAGCACTTGGTAGAGGGTATTTGGCCTACTCTTCCACGCTGCTCAGACATCTTGTAAAAGGTGGGAGCACACACACACTTTACCCCACCACACACGACCTACCGTTGGCTATGTATGGTGCGAAAGAAGTTCAACATACATACCGGTCGACTAACTGTAGTGTATCCATTATACTTGTTGGGTGGACAGAGGTGAGGGGGGGGGGGATTAAGAAATGTGCCCATTGTTTCAAACGCCATGTCAGGAGGTGAGGAATTGAGTTCAATCAAACTCAAATTAACTCTTAAATTTCATTTAAAGAGCCCTTTTCCACGGTATTGACATGTGAGCAGAGCTATCGTATGCAGGCGGTGAAACTGCACCGGGGCCCAATTGGCTGGAAGGGCCCAGGCACCGGGGTACGAAGAGGGAGGAAGGTGGATAGAGGTCCTCGTAGTAGGGCCCATTCCAATCATGCAATGCCACCGAGGCCCATCTATTAACAAAGCAAAGTATTGGCTGTTTTATTCCTACAGTGCCCCTTTGAATCGTCATTCTCACAGAGTACTACATAACTTTTAAGTGGTCTGCTCAGCTTTGGTAAAGCGTCATTAACCGTGCATAGGATATTAAAGTAGTGTGAAGTAATATCATCTGCCTTGAATATGAATCATGAAAATGGAATATTTTGGCCAAAAAACCCTCTTTCAGTGATTACAATTTAGGGCTGTGATTTGATTCAAGGATGGATATTTTCTGTAACATAATTGTGAATTGTAGCCCTTGTTTTTACTGAAGGGCTCACGTAACCAATTACATATAACATACGCCAATAAATAAAAACATTGATTCTTACACATACAAATTGATGCACATATTGTGCGCTGAAGATTGATGAATCCATCCATTCCACCCCGAATAAGTACAAAGAGTCCATGAATAGATACTTACATATCAAATCAGGTTTAATGTATAGGAGCCATTCCTAATTCGGATACATGCTACACTACATTAAATAACAACTCTTAAGTCGCAGGGTATGAAAACAAGACTTAAATGGCACGACCTCAGCACCAGCCACGCACTTTCCACAATTCCTGAACCTTCCAATAACACGGCGGCACATTGTACCTTCCTGAGAACTGACCAGGAGTCTGTGATAAATAATAGGTGTTGACGCATCTGTGTGGAGCTGATCGAGCGCCACCCTTGTTTTGCCAATGGTTCTATCCACGGGAACCTTCCCGCGACTCGCCGAAGCAGAACGGCCCCGCTGGTGAGATTGCTACGGAGGGATGGGATCTATCCATCTCTCCGGTGTCCCTACTGTTTGGCCCCCCGTGCTTCTTAATCGCCCACCCTCACCGCCAACAATAACCATCCTGGCTTCTGAATTGGCGGTCCCTGACTGGGACGCCCATATTTATACATTTTAATGATCGCTCGCTGCACTCCCGTTTTGTTCGATTCACGTAAAAATAAATACAGTAAATAAATAATTCAACCGCCATGGGGTTTTTTTTTAGGCCGTCATGTCTTTTGGCCAAAATAACTTTAGGGTATTACAGTAATTTTGGTGAAATTCATGCAAGGTGGAGAACAAAAAAATAGCCTCTCGTTTCCTTCAAAGCATTCATATTCAATATACAGGTCCTTTTTGTGGTTTGTTGTTTTATGACGTTAAATATTGGACTATTGCTGCCAACCCATAATGACCAGCGTGGTGAAGCATGGTCAAATAACCCCCATGAGCGATGCAGTGTGGGGAGGCCTGCGAATTATTATTACTAATATTTATTCTAGTAAAATAATTTATGAACCGTATGCATAGTTGCAATGTCGCACACAAAGCATAGTTCTGATGGGGCAATCACACTGCAACCAGCAGTGAATAAATATTTACATTTTTCAGTGTGCACGAAAATAATTGGTTTCAGCCTACAAATTTTTTTCAATGTTGTAAGTACAACCATCAAGAATATTTAAAAAATGGCAACTGCTGCTATTGTGTTAAAGCAGAGCTTCATTCAAGTTGACAGCCACCAACAAATTGTCCTGCGTTGTCCAGATAATTCCTGCCGGAAATGTCTTCTCCACTTTGCACAACGACTCAAGAATGCAGTTTAGAAATTACGTCCGAACGAAAAGGCTGTATTATACCTGCGAGGGACTGTCGCCGTGAATTACATAAATTTTAGGCTGACAGCGGCCGCTGTGCGATATCAAAATGGAACACCTGTGCATTTGTCATGCTGGGGCAAAGAGGGATTCGTAATAATAGTTGTAAAACTCCAGTTTGAAATAGTCGTGCGTGAATTGAATCGGTCTGGCCCTTCACGTGAATGCACAGACAAGAGCACGGGCAGGGAGGCGAGCGTTTGAGTTCGAGGCACAGGGGTGTGCCAGCAGCTTCGGACGATTACAGCCAGGCCGAGGGAAAATGGGACAGCGGCAATTCTTTGACTGATACCAACATCTAAGGACGTTCGAGAAGCTAAAAAACGTCGAACATTGAACATTAAACGTTAAAGCCGCACGTTTGCAAGCGCACACAATGCCATTTTCGTGTGCTAAGCATTAAAGTTTCATGACGAGAATATATATAAAAAAAACATTAATCAGCGTTTGTCATGCAGACAGTGGAATACAATAAGTTTTCGATTTTAATTTCGCCGGTTAATCCGCCTGCCAAGGCTGACACGGCGCCCCCTTGCAGTCACAAAGCGGCAACGACCGCGAGCGTGAACCCAATGGGGTCATTTTTCACGCGCGTTAATAGCCAGCTGCCATGTCACTTGGGACCCCGTGGGTGAGAAAAGCGACTGGCTGGTCTTTCATCAAGCTGACAACGCTACATTGGGCCATACAGGATCAGCCGATACGCCGCCCACGCGCGGCAAACTTAGCGGCGGAGAGACCGTCACTAATCGCTGCTGCCATCGTGTGACTGGTGCCGCTGCGCAGAACTTTGCTCGGGGCAGGCGAAGGCTGTGAAATCAAAGTGGCTCTTCACACGGCACTACTCTGGGGGTCACGGGGCATGCGACAGCATCGGCCTTTTGCAATATCTCACGTGCAGGTATTAACGTTGTATTGGAGCACTTGATTTCGCGTGCGGATGTCATATATACGCTCAAAGACAAATTGGGGAGCGTGGTAGTGCAGCGTACAGCGTGGCCACGCTACGAATCCGGCGACACGCTCACGGCCAACATCAGTGACAGTTATCTTCAAAGGTCCTGGGCCTCCCCAAGGTGGACTCAGCCTAAAATGAGTACCTGGTGCGGTGTGTATACATTGCCACTAGGGAGCCAAAATAAACTGGGCATGGTGCTGGCCACCCACCCCCTCGTGTACCGTGGCGGCCTTCACAGGTGCTCGCTAAACGCACTAGCCCCAAAATTATGTTATGGCTATACGGGGGGATCTTAATATTTTATATACACTCTATGCATAGGCATCATCACGTAACTGCTGCCCATCAAACCCACTGAACGGTGGTACCAAAACAATCCATCAGCTCACAACCAGCGTCAGTGAATGGCTATAGACCATTGAGATCAATTTATAACATTTGTTGCTTTTCCAAAAACCTGCTACTTTATCCCTTACAAGACACCATACGAGAAAAGGAAAGAGGCATCATCTCCAAAGCAGCTCAGTGATCCCACTTGATAAAGCACTGGGCTTCAGCTGAAATGTGTGTCCCCACATGATTCCCAAGCCAACGATACTCACATCGTACCGTGGGTGGTGTGCAGGGTTCAGGTCCACTGCTCCAAAAAGAGGCAGCTTCAGCATTTTCCTAATCAACACTGACAGTGAGAGGACAGCAAGCGGGACAGTGGCGGTGAGAAGCTGAGCCCTCTCTTCAACTCGTGCTATAAGCACAACAAAAATCCGCTGACAGGGCCTCATGACCAGCGGCAGCTCACAGGGCTTCAAATCATGACGACAGTTTCAGAAGGCAGTAATCTTCACTTCAATTCTTTTGGAATTTCGGATGACTTAATTTATATCGGAGTGTGATCTTCTGGGTTGAGCATTTCTTCTCTCAAGCTTTCACCACACACCCTTCAACTCCTGAAGAGGCCATTAATAGTGCACAGAGAGAAGATATTCTCAACACGCACCCCAACCTGGAAGGCCACACTTGTATTACAAGTGGCTGGGAAAACCTAATTGCTGAATTGACATCATTCATAATTGGAATAGCTCAATTGCTGATGGGAATGCAAAGTGTAATTATATATTAGCTCAAAGCACCGACGAGATCAGCTCTCCTGGGAATCTCTATGAACTTGTATGTGCTGGTCTGGTAAAGAGAGCTCTGATGTATGAATGTATATTGAACTTCTTTTGCACCATACATAGCCAACCGTGTTAATCAGAGGTGCGGGACAGTGAAACCACGACTGTAGGGTTGCCATCGGTCAAAGTTTGACCCGGATAATTCGGGAATTGGCATCTAGATTCGGGTGGCAGGAATGGATTTGTACCGAGATGTCGTTGGATTATTTATTTACTTTATTCACGTATACTGCACAGTTTTGATAGGCCTCGGCTAACTGAGATATGTGTCCCGGTTTGGTCTGTGAAAATGGTGGCAAATACACATACATACACAACTGTCACATTTAATGTCTTCAATTAAACCGCCTGCGTGTGTTGCCCGAGGACTGGAGAACTTGACGCTGGGAAAAACCCGAGGATGACTTTGTTGTTGCTGCTGTCTCAAATTGGAGCGCCGAGCCAGCACTCCTCACCAACGTGTCCCACAACCGACGTGAATGTGGCCCAAGTCCCGGCCAGAGCGCATTTGCACCCATCAAAGGCGTGACCTGTACCGCTCTGCGATGCGTTTTCCGGTTGTAACCACGCGTTGTTCGGGGAATGAACGCTTCACTCCATGTGCTATATACGAAGGGCGGCAAGGTTACACGAAGTGTCGAGAGATAGCGAGAGGCTCGTTCATGAAAGCCTATGCGGTAAGGCTGACGTGAATGGTTCACAATCACACTAACTATTCGGTGACTAAACAGAGTTACGTTCGAGTATTGGCAACCTTTGCGTCGAATGAGGACCCCTGACATTTGAATTACCAGCCCAAAATGGAAGTGTGCGTTGTTCATTTCTTAATGGGCTTTGAAATACATTTAAATGTAGATTAGATGTAAGAAATAATAATAATAATAATAATCGGCATCCAACACATGGTACCTGTTTAAATAAATAAAAGTATCTAAAATGAATATCGTTCCACTAACTATAAACGCTGAATGATATTGCAAGTTGGCCTTTGTGCATTTTGTAGATTTTTTTATGTACTCACACGTGCATCATATTTACTTTAATTCACAAAGTTGTGGCTCCTCAAAACATGTAGAGACTTTCAATCGGTATTTCGTTATGATCTCCGTAAAATGCGTCATGTTATCCCACTCAAACAGATGCTTTCATCCCACACTGCTGTGATGAGATTTCACCACGCTCTGCATATGGTTTGTACTGTAGGCGTTATTGCGAGCCAAGCACGAGATGTGGAATTTTAATTTCCTGTCCGCACGGGGATCAATAGTGTTAATATAAGAGCAGCGGCTCTCACGCTAAGTGTGGAGGCGCGGGGCTGCTCACAAATCACTCGCCGCTGGCCCAAGCCGACATTACAGTCCTAATCTAAAGTCTCGGATGCACGCAGGCTGCACGAACACTCACAAGCGCCATCAGGTCCACAAGCAACTACGTCTGGAAAGGGCGCCAGTGACGCTTAGAGCAAAGGCGGCTCCATGAGGCAGTCCCCATGCGAATGCACAAAGATGTAATTCTTATGTATCGAGTCAGTTGCCGCTTCTCAATAAGCGTTGGCTTACGCAGGACACGCTTCGTGTTATCTTTTCACATCCTCGATGGAATGAAATCCAAAGCCGATTATTTCTTGCCAACCACACTGAGCACTGCTGACATGTATGCGCGGAACAAATTCACGTGTGTTGATGTTTTACCATGTTTGCAAAGGCTTTTGGGAAATCTACAGGATTGTGACCGATCTTGTCAGATCTCGAAAACTAAAAGTGGGGGATAAACAACAATAGTTCTTGGATGGGTGACGAACATGCATAACAGGTAACCCAAAAACCTTTATTATTAATAATATTGGTCGCGAAAGCCTACTTGTTAAACTCAAGTATTATGGGCTCCATGGCTAGATGTGGGCAGAAAAGTGCAGTGCAGAAGAACCCACTGGTGTACTGTATGTTTTCTGGAACATCTGTGCTGCACTCCTCCACCAACCCACACTCACTAGCATGGAGATGTGTGGACAAATAACCACCCCCATGACCCGCATGGGGAGGCCCTCATCCGGCAGTGGACTGACGAAGAGCTATACACGTACGTTCACTTTGAGATGCGGATATTAAGAATGACTTTGACACTGGTGGGTGACTCCTAGGTTCTTTCCACGAATAAATGCGTCTAATAGAATGGATTTGTCATTACTTCTGGGTGACTCCTCTTATCGCTATATATATAAAAACGCTAATCATTGCACAAATCCATCCGCGTATAACAGGCACTGCCGCAAATCAATTGAGGCATGGGATAACAGGCGCAACGGATATAATGTACACGTGCACAAGGTGTTTGTACGGCGGTTACAACAATCCACCTCGTTTCTTGTTTTTGGGGACACTGTCAAAGAATCGTCCAGTGTCCCTTTGGCGGAGGACTATGCGACGGTCCGGGGGGCAGCTCTCCGTGGCGGTGCAACAGTAGAAGCCGAAGCTGGATGATAGGTCCACGGCTAGGGTCACGGAGAGGTCAGCCACCGTCATCGCCCTGCAGAGCGAACACGCACGCACGCGTACCTCTTACATCTATTGCTTTACACTCGTGAGAATTGATTTGCCGACATAACGGCATTAACCTCAAACAGTTAATAATTGAGACGAGTACATGACGCTGACTTGCGCGGGGGTATAAATGGAACATGTCGATACCAATGCCAGAGCGCGTGTTTGGGTTTTAAAACTAGAACAATGACTCATTGCTAGTGGATGGCTTGCCCAAATTCGTAATGCATTTGGATTGATGAATGAATGGATGAATGAAGGGATACATGAATAGAATGTTTATTGCTGTGGTTGTCCCACCTGATGACGATTGCTTGTGTTGCGATCGAAACGTCGTGATTTTTTAAATTTTATTTCTAACTATGTAACCTGTTAATCACTGTTTGGCCCGATTTATATGAGTCGTAACTTTTTGGCACTCCCCCTTAATTTTAATTTATTTCTACCTACGTGACTTTACCGAAAGAACCAAAGAGTATGGATTCCTGCAGTCACGAAAGCTTCAAATCAACAATGATAACATGTGATTTTTAAGTGAGCATGCATAAGACTGCTCGTCATATTGCTATGGTTCTGTGGATTCACCAGCTGTCATCTGAACGTATAACATTTCTTTGATTTGTGACTGAAATTGTTATATGCCAAGTTTTGTAAATTTCGCTTTTATTCTGTTCAAATTCATAAGAACATTTTGTAAACCATAGAAAAAATATACAAAATAAGGAATTCGCCAAACATTTCAAGCAGGGCCTTCCTAAATCAGTCATGACACTCTATGTCATCAATTGTTAGGGGTAAGGCGGTGGTGCCATGGTTAGCGCAGTGTCGGATAAACCCGGCGACCTAAATTAAATCCCAGCCATGGCTAACACCAGTGACAAGTGATATATCTGAACCGGTCCTTTACACCTCCTTCACCAACCCGCACTGACCAGCGTGAAGTGTGGTTATGAGGAGACTTTCATCCTGCAATGCACCAATACAGGACCGCACATTATCATTACATTATGATTATTAGATCAATTACACAACATGGAAAGCACAATGCTTATGTCACATACATAAAAGCCGCACCAAACACTAGGTTGGCGCGGCATTTTGTTGAACTTCTTTCGCACCGTACGTAGCCAGCCTTGCAAACCGGAGGTGCAAATTGTATTATGAATGTGGAATTTCCAATAAGTGATGCATTGTACCGGGGCACGGTGATGACCTCAAATCTCATGTCTGCTTTGCGGGCAATAATCCTCCTCGTGTCCCGCTGAACGGTTTTCACATGCTTCGCCAACTCCTCGCAAAATCCCGTCGGGTAGCTGCTCTCCAGCCAGTCCAGCTCTGTAGCAACACAGCAGGGTACAGCAACCGCTGCTGAGTACGAGTGCACCATGCTGATCGGAGGCGGCAGGGCAAACTAGAGGGGCTGGATTTGACCTCAGCCTGCACGGTGTAGCAGAACAGAGAGAGAGCAGGTCAGATATTGAAAGAGCCACCATCAAAGGATTATTTAAAAAGTTTGGCAAGAGTGAAAGGTAGGATTCAAAGAAAGGCATTTTTTTTACAAATGAAAACCCTTCAACCATAAAACCGGCTGAAAGCGAGAATCATTATGATTTAACCCAGGAGACAGCACTAACCTCGCACCCCTGCCCATGAAGGGGTATTAATGATTCACTAACCCATCAGTGGCATTGTCCCCCTGAGCCAGCCTTTACAACAAGCACTGTCGGTCACCTTGTTGATGTTTGCCGGACTCGGCGAGGAGCTCGAGTCTGCTCTGCAGGCCACCCGGCTCCTCGGCGTGCACGGGAAGTGACTCGAGCCGATGCTCGCAGTAGCTGAGCTTGTGCACAAGCGAGCGCTGTACCAGCACACGTGGGAGCACAATGCAAGACGATCACGCAGCCCCTTCGGTTGCATCCAATGCCACTCCACGTGGGAGCTCATCTCATCTTATGGTGGCTTGGCTATGACAATAATAGTGCTATATTCTTAGCTCTTTCGGTAAAGTCACGTTGAAGGGAAACAATAAAATAATAAAATATATATAAAACAATAAAAATTATCACGTTTCGACCATAACACAAACGGTCGTCATCAGGTGTGACGACCGTTTGTGTTATGGTCGAAACGTCTTCAGAATTTTTATTGTTTTATATATATTTTATTATTTTATTGTTTCCCTTCAACGTGACTTTACCGAAAGAGCTAAGAATATGAATTACTGCAGTCACGAAAGCTTTAAATCAAAAAATAATAGTGCTACTTTAATTTTATATTGCGTCATTCATGCCAACAGCCCATCCCACAACGCTGCACATTAATTACCGACTATAATCACCCAGAAATGTCTGTCCGTCCGGCGCGTGACGTCACTCCACGTGAGGCCCACCCCCCCGCGTGAACGTCACTCCATGAGCCCCCCTCATTAATATTCATGAGTGGGTGGAGTTTTACACTAACGCAGAGGAAGGTCGAGCTGAATGAAATAATTGATTACGCAAAGTCGCTTCAAATATGACGTTTCTTTACAGAAAGTGATGGTAAAAAATAAATCTACGCAGCACAGTGCTACACCCGTGCGTGACATCACTGCAAAAGCGCCCCCCCCCCTTCATTAATATTCATGTCCTCGTGCAAATTTACACGAACGAACGCACAAGGTCGCGCACTCCACATGCCGCACCCCTCCCCTCATTAATAATCATGAGCGGGTGACGTCACTCCACATGCCGCACCCCCTCATTAATAATCATGAGCGGGTGACGTCACTCCAAATGCCGCACCCCTCCCCAATAACCATTAGTGGGTGACGTTACTCCACATGGGGCAACCCCCCCCTCATCAATAATCATAAGCTCAACAATTTTTCTATTGAATATTTCAGATTTACTGCAATCTACACCCGTCCTTGGACGGGTAAAAAAGCCAGTTATATATAAGGACCAAATCCCATACACACGGTTGTGTACGCACGACACCAAAGACCAAACCCTACTACCAAGCAAAAACAAAAATTAATAAACTAATTAAGAAATAGCACCAAATCAAAAAGCACAAACATACAAAAACGAAGAGAAGAATCTACGAGGTCGACGACTACACATCCCAGACCACAGTCCCAACTTCCCAACCAAGCCAGGAAACAGACTCTTTGATTCTTGATTTGAAGCTTTCGTGACTGCAGGAATACATACTCTTTGGTTCTTTCGGTAAAGTCATGTAGGTAGAAATAAATTAAAATGAAGGGGGGGGGGGGGGGAAGTGATTAACAGGTTACCTGTTTATATTCATATTCTTAGCTCTTTCGGTAAAGTCACGTTGAAGGGAAACAATAAAATAATAAAATATATACTCGACCGTGAAGACTACTTATTGTAACAGCTAGGAAGGGTTATGTCTGTGTGTGTGTGTACGTATAAGTCTGAGACCTGGAAAGACACCGGGCAGAGATGATCTCCCAAGCGAAATGCTGAGAGAGGGTGGCGTTTGTGCACAGACTGCCCTACATGACATCATAACAACAGTCTGGACCACTGGACGGGTTCCGCAGGATTGGAAGGATGCCCTGGTGGTCCCCCTCTTTAAGAAGGGGGACCGCAGAGACTGTAACAACTACAGGGGCATCTCACTCCTCAGTGTGCCGGGAAAGATCCTGACAAGGATTATTCAACATCGCCTTGCCAGGCACGCTGATGAGAGGCTTGCGGAGCCCCAATGCGGTTTAAGGAAAGGGCGGTCCTGCACAGATGCCATATTTTCTGTCCGTCTGCTACAGCGGAGGTGTAGGGAATTTCAGCAAGACCTACATCTCTGCTTTATTGACCTGGTCAAGGCCTATGATACTATCAGTAGGCCTGGGCTCTGGGTTGTTCCTCGTGCTTTCCGAATCCCTGACCCTCTGCTCACGATCATTAAGGACCTTCATGATGATGAGCGCGCCCGGGTAAAACTACATGGCCAGGAGTCAGAGCCATTCCCTGTACACCTTGGGGTGCGACAGGGATGTCCTCTGGCTCCCACATTATTTAACATCTATTTTGACCACGTAGTTCGTGAAGCCTTCAATAGCTGTACCGGGGGAATTTCCATCTGGTACAGATATAATGGGAGGCTGATCGATGCCTGGGTGCGGTCAAAGGATGGCTCCCTATTGGTCAACCACGTTATGTATGCCGATGATTTGGTAATTGCTGCTCATTCAGAGGAGGAGTTGGAGACGCTGCTGCTGAAACTGGAGCGTGCCACTAAGAGGTTGGTCCTTACCATCAGCCCCTGCCTGGGTATTTTGTACCATCGGGCACTCCACCCCCACAACTCCCAATTTCACTCCGAATCACTCGAGCGGCAATATCTTTTAATCGGATGCGTAACGCTGTGTGGAAGCTACCTGGTCTGTCGCTCCGCACGAAGCTTCAGGTCTTCTCGGCCATTCCCTCCCTTCTCTACGCTTGCGAAACGTGGAGCATCTTCGCCGGTTGAAAACATTTAGGCTGGCCTGCCTACGATCCATCCTGGGTTTAACCAGGCTGGATTGTGTGAGGAGCTCACAAATCCTCGAAAGATCTGGGCAAAGTCCCATCGGGGAGCTCCTCCGGCAGGCAAGGCTGCGATGGCTGGGTAATGTAGCCCGCATGCCCAGCCACCTAATGCCGAAACAGCTTTTGTTCGGCCGGATCGAGGGGGCTAAACAGGCGCGGCGCGGGCTAGAGAAGAGATGGAGTGATGTGGTACAGGAGGACGTGGAACTGAGTGGACTTGCCGATGACTGGTACCAGCGGTGTCAAGATCGGCCTCTGTGGAGGAGGCTCGTGAAGGACGCTACTGGGCAGTTGGAGGCAGTCGCCCTCCAACAAAAACGGAGGGCAGAGGAGCGACGCTCACAACAACGAGCGGAGCGCCGGGTGGCTACAGCACAGCAAGTTGGCACAGTAGGGGGCACAGGTGGTGCATCAGCCAGTCATCTCAGTTTTCTCAGTCAGTCGACCCGTGGCACCTGGGTCGGCCCCGCAACCTCCTGCCAGCGGGCGTTTGACACCTCACGTGGCCTCAAGGTGCACATTGCCTGGCACAAGCGTCGTGGTGACGTCACCGCTACTTAGTGGCGAATGGCGGTTGTTGTCGTACGTATGTGTTGGAGAGACAAAAGTGGCCAGAGCGTGGGGTTGGCCACACCACCCCCTCGTGTGCCGTGCCAGCTTTAGTAGGCGCTCTCTGAGAGCACTTGCCCCAGCACTGTGCATGGAACTATATGGGGGATATTTATCTTTGTGTGTATGTATACGTACGTGTCCACATACACGTACTTTATTGTGGGTACACGATTGTGTGTGCGTCTGCGGGGTTCAAGTTGTCAGTAGAGGGCAGTGCAACAACATCCATTGTATTTCCCTGTGCTCCAATGTCTATTATCCTTGCCTTCACCAACCCGCACTGACCAGCGTGGTGAAGTATGGTCAAATCACATTGACAACCCTCACGGTGTGGGGAGGATTGACGGGGCTATTCTCGCATGCGTACACCTATTGATATGCACGGCTGATTTCCCTAGGAGGCCATTGCGGTCCGGTGAGAGTAGAGATGGACAGCAGCGAGACACGGGGTCCTCCGTAAATGAGACGTTCACCTTGCGGCGGGCCACGGCCAAGTTCTGCCTCAGCCTGTATCCGCCCATGAAGAGGAAGCAGAAGTAAGAGCACACGGCCTCAGGGTCAGCCTGCGACAGCAGAATAGAGAATCAGCCCCTCGGTAAAACGCAGCGAGGATAATATTGGCGCGTAACAGTGTTAGAAGGATATCTCAATGCCAGTGGAGTGGAGAATTACATACGTGTAAATGTGTTGTCTTAGGTGATGCGTTATTGCACAACTGAAACATCATGTCCCAGGGAGACTTCAACAATTTTCCCAGGACAGCAGCTACCCCGAAAAGAGGATGATCATGGAAAAACCCAGGACAGGTTGCAACCGTAGTGCCCACAGCGCTGCTTGCAGAGGGCATCCTCTATTGAGAAGTGGTGAGATCTCTGATTACACTGGCCAGACAGTTTTTAGGATATCTGAGTTCCCTTACTTTACTTCACCCCAAGCGATCAGTCGAATGACTTGCGGATAAAACCTGCTGTCAACACTGTGTGCATCAATTGTCTTCATGTTACCCAGATTGCCCTTGTAAAGGAATAATATTACATGTAGATTTGATGGTGTAAACATATTATGAACCAATCATAATAACTGGGGTTTTAAAAGTAATGCATTACATTTATATGCGGTCATATGTTAATAATTTATATTCAGCCATATATTCCTTCAAAAATGGGGTTAACTGAATATTGTGAACACCACGCACTTTACAAAGTGTGAACGTTTGTTTAGAGAGAGAACGTTCAATGAAGAATTTTGCTGGAGGTCTCGGCCATTTCAATTATTGGACATTTAACAAATCCCACAGAGAGACTAGGCCAAAATACCCTCCAGAGGGGCTCTATAGTGCTCCCTCTAGTGGAGGGCCATCCACTATCAGTGCCGTGAGCGAGCAATTTCAGGGCTGCACCTTTAACCTTTTTTCCCATTACAGATGGACAATCGATTGTAGCAGCTTTAGTGCCTAAGAGTAGAGTAATTATGACACAATTACGAGTCACAATTGCAGTTCCAGAAGTCTTACCTCGACCAGGTCTTCGGGTGCAAAAGAAGTGGAGATGTGAAGCATCTCCTCCATTGTCCTCAGAGCCAAGTTCATCGTCCATCTTAGTAACACACCACAAAGACACACATTTCTCCAAAGAGACTGGTGGAGCAAGTGCCCCTTAAGTGAGCATTAGCCCACAAAGACTCCCCAATAATCCCGACATGCTCTTGGCTGGGGAGTGATGCTAGCAAGGAGATGTATTGAGGCACATGACAAGGTGGTGTGTCCGTTATTTCCTCAGTACCAATATGCTAAGAGTAAATACTTAACTAGGCCCTTATTTTAGTTTAGTTTATATATTTTTGTTCACCCAGGGTGTGGCCCATATAGATCGTTTTTTTTCTTAAAGGCTAGGTTGACCTTGTTACTGGTGTTATCTGTGGCTAGTAATCGAACTCAGGTGACCAGGTTGATGGTGCACTGTGAACACCACTCTACTACCACCACTCTCCACACCACATGCACAAACATATACACAACTCACATGCAATGTAAACAGGATTCGTGCATTGCCTTGAGATTACATGAGTAATAGTGTATATATGTTTTGTGGGGAGCAGTGGCATGACCACATTATCAGCTCAGAGGGTGCGGCAATCGGTCAGGTGGGGCCCCCAATATTTGAGTTTCGCACTTTGCGGAAGCCAAACATTACTGCTCTAATTAAAGTAAAATAAAATGCGGAACGTAAATGCAAGCATTTTCACGGAAAATAAAATGTAACCGCGTTTTAAAAAAAGTTTTTGTTCTTTAGCACTGTTGTTGAAAAATTATCTCATGGTGGTTATCAAGGGGGCCCCAACTCGTAGCTTTGGCCCCCAGTGCAATGGTTTGCACTTTGCACGATGCGCCTGGCAACTGAAGTTCAATTCCTGTTGACTGATTAAATAGGTGGCAAGTGGCACTCAGAAACTAAGTTTGAGTCTCTCTGACCCGCATGAGTGGCTTTACCTTGGCGCCCATATTTCTCCCTTACCGGTCATTGGGAAGGAGCTCAGTGGGGAACGTCTCAGGGATGAAGATGTTGACCAGGCCACAGAGCACTGCAGAGCTCAGCAAGTCCTCCATACAAGAGACCAAGAGCCCCTGCCTACCCTCTGCCTCCACCTAAGCACACGCGCACACGTGATTACGGTTTAAATCCTCGCTCGGTTGACGGGATACGTTTGGATGCAACAAGCGGAACGCTGTTTTCCTTCCTCGAGATTAAATATACTGCGCATTGCTGGTTCATTATCTATACCGTACTAAGATCGCAATGCTTAGAAGCTGGGTATAAGCACACCCCTTCGGAGCAAGGTCAGCGACACAGACGACGCTGAACAGAAAAACACATTTTTAGTTGGGAAACATTTCCCTTTATCCATAATGGAGGTTTTTTTGGGTTAGAGTGCGTAAATATATAAATGTGTGGTTAAACCTGCTACCACCCGATACAGCCAATTAGTAAGGTTTGTCACGTAAAGAGAACATGCTAATGTGTTACTAGTACAGCCCACCGGTGTGTTGGAGAGAACAAGCCACGACATTTACAATCTGAGTACGACGTCTTGCCAATAATTGCAACTAGTTTCATCAGGTGACAGACAGATTTCTGAAGTCCTGTTCAGTTTACGTGGCAAAACCTTAGCATTTGGCTGTGTCGGGTGGTGGCGGGTTTAAACATACACATATTTATTTACGTGCTCTAACCCAAAAAAAACCTGTATTATGGATATTGGTCGCGAAAGCCTACGTGTTAAACATTTCCCTTTATCTCAAACCATAAAATATTGTGCACTTTGCTATTATGCCACACGATGGCGCTCTCTGTTAGCAAAAACTAAAATTATGCCATTAAAACATTACAAGGGGACTTGGGGGGGATTTATAAATGCGAGGAATGACCTGTAATTAGGAATAATTACTGTCAAGCTGTTACGATCGGATAGCTCTGGTGTACGATAAGATATAGCATATGGATCAATATCAGCCGTTGCTTAAAATGTAATCAAGCTAGTGAAACAATCGACTAATGATGAATACAAACGATTATTTCTCTCTTTATGCTATGTCGGCTCTTCATCATTACTGAAGTGAAAATGGAGCATATGTTTTCACCAATATGCAAACTTTAAAAATCTCCATTTCATAACGAATACTTGATTGGCATGTCCTACAACACACCTCTAAGTGAAGCTGAGAATCAGGCATGCTTGAATCAATGCTGGTGAGCTGCCATATGTTATAGGTGAGGGTATGGCACATGTTATAGGCTGATACAGGCAAGATATCGGCCCTACCTTGATTCAAAATTATATATTATGTAACTCTAAATAATCATAAGCATAATTTTGGAGAATATAAATTACAAAGTATATATGCAGACATTGGCTCCTTCATATATCCCGCTCCCCACATAAAATGTAAGTATATCTTGCACAACCAATCGGCCGCACGGCCTTCTGGGATTGTATTATTTCATCAACATTCATTCAGCACACGCAAACTCTGGACTGTTTTATTGTTTTATGGGGGGGGGGTACATGGATATATGAAGGAGGCATTGACCGCTTATCATCTTTTTATATCCTCCATATCGGACGGTGCTAATTATTTGACGCTACGTGAAATGTGTCTAGTGTCCCAAGGCGTTGCTCTGTAGACCTGGTTTGAGAATCACCTTGAGGTGAGCATTGATCATGCTGAGGATGCATTTCTCTGGTGATGGGTAGTGTTCACGGCCTCCCTTGGGAATCTTCTTGTTGTACCTTTTAGCCTCCTCATGACCTACAGACAAAACCACACCACCTATAAAACCTGACGAGGTTACAACCCCCATTTTTACAATTGGGGAAAATGGATAATTTCCAGCTGTTTGTCAATCCACTGCCAGACGAAGGCTTCCCCAACGCTGTGTTGGTCACTGGGGCTGTTTGACCATACTTCACCACGCTGGTCAATGCGGGTTGGTTAAGTGGGTTCCCCCAAATGGTTCCTGAGGTACAGGGGGATATGTGAAAAGGTCAGATTTGTGAACACCTACGGAAGATGCCAGTTACACCATGCACCACAAATAGGTTGCTGGACAAAAAGTAACACGTGGACTGCTTTAAACATGGGACATGCTTCACTGGGCCTTGGAAGGAAACACATGTATGCAAGATTAAGAACACTTTACTGCATGTGAAAAGTTAGATTTTTGTACATCTATAGAAAATGAAAGTTACATGCATTAATACATCACTGTGTGGGCAGGCAGTCAGTTGATCAGGTTGGGTATGTGACAGTCATATATGTGCCGTTGTACTTTATTCACATTTAATTCAAGCAAGTGAATGTACCCCATGCAATCGCCTCATTGGCAATGCAATCGTGTGTTGTTCGCCTCATCGACAGGCCCCATGCAGATGCTACCTGGAAATGGCTCAGACTCTGCAGGGACGCTGAAGGAGGTTTTTAGGCAAGAGCCCAGGCTATGTCCCGGCAGGCTTTCAAACCCAGAGGTGCCTCGCAGGAGAGAATTACTGTCTCCGGAGCTCTGCGACCCGAAACTTCTGTTCGTAGCAGGGACTCTGGGTGTCCACTGCATTCCAGACCACAGTATAGGGCGAAAAGGTTAAGGTTAAAAATCATAGAGTATTCGCATCTCCCCTCAAATGCCAATTAACATTGCTGAAGCTGTGATTGTTGTTTTGCGTGTTAATCATTTTTTTATATTCTTGGTTCTTTCGGTAAAAGTCACGTAGAAGCGAAACAATAAAATAATAAAAATATAAAACAATAAAATTATTGTGAGAATTGTATTGTTTTATATTTCTTTCACACTGTGCGTAGCCAACCACACTAATTGTCGGTGCGGGGGAAGGACAAACTAAACACAAAAAGTAGTTTTAAATAAATTAGTTTTCAATCTAGATTTCAAAGTGCATAGCTCCAGTGGCTTCCTAATATCGGAAGGAAGAGCGTTCCAGAGGGCCGCAGAAGTGCATCCAAAAGCGCGCGATGCAGTGACCGTCATTAGAAGGCATCACTTTACCATTTGCTCATCATATGAGAGTAACATTTTTATCAGATGCGGCTGCCTGGTTTCAAACCAAGGATTTCATCAATGCAGAGAGCACCTTGAAGGGGATGGAGCAGAGTGCCTCATCGTCATCGAGCTGCAGGTGGCAGGACCTCTCCCACGTGAACCAGATGTCACGTGCCACGAGGTCCCAAAACAAGTCAAACACCTAATAAGCCAGACCGTTAAGAAAACACGTGTTTCCTGCATTCAGCACGTAGAAAACACCTTGAAATAGCGCACATTCTTGTAAACAATAAAGTGTTCCCTTAAAGGATACATTGGTGGAGGAATTTGCTCAAACTTGTAATTCAGCACTTTGGAGTCAAGGGTTGGTGGGCCATGTAGATTTGTTAAACTTCAAAACCAATTTGGTTACGATGTGGCCTGGGGTTGGCATAAAAGAAAATGGGCTCACGAACCCAGCTGTGTGAACCTTTGAGATGTATTGCCTTATATGCATGGGTTTTCTCCAGGTCGTTTGATTTCTTCCTACATGCAAAAAATATATAATTTCAAGTAATTGACCACATATCCCAATTAAGGATCTTCCTGCAAAAAAGTCTTGTGAATCGGTGAGATTTTGCTGGATAAATACATCACGTTATTATTACTACATTTAACAGGTAAAACAAATCCTAGTATAGGCCCCTCGTTTTGTTCGGAAGTACTAAGGGAGTTCAGGTAAAAACAGTAAATGTTTTTTTTTAGAATTTAGGTGAAATGAATCTCAACTTACTTTGACTGGGAGTGGGTAGTGAATGAAACCCAACCAAACAGCACTTGCCCACACAGCATGCTGGTGATGAGGACCAAAATTGAAGCGACAGAGCCATCTAACTTAAGCCCGAAAACCACAACAGATGCAATTTATCAATAGAAAATGCATGTTAAACTTGTAAGCAAAAGTCACCAGCTGTTTTTTTTTCTCTTCTAAAAGATAGGTAATAATTCCAAAATCCGCAAGTGGCTACCATACAAATCAAACCGGCTGTGCAACACTCACGTAAGCCACTATATGTGACCACAGGCTAACAATGTACGGCTCACATGTTCGTTGCTGCCCAGGGCAAACATGCGAGCGTCTAGCGAAGTGTCGGCTGCCACCACCCCGGCCCGCTTGAGTTCCTCCACAAACCAACGGGCCCGCGTCTCCTTCTGCTGCTCTGTAAGCCCATCCAGGCCCTGCAACCTCTGCGGCGCATGACCAGCCAGGCCTGCACATAAAACGCAAGCAAGGGCAACACGTAATTAATTCATCTAGGGCATGAGACATGCGGTAATGGTAAGCCAAGTGAAAGTAATTCAGATATGGACCGTGGTTAACATGTGTTGGTATACGACATGCGGGCACTTCTCAGAAGACCAAATATGTATATTGACACTTTTAAGAACTGTTCCTATCCTACGATGTTTACGTAGAGAGAAACGGCAATACAAATAGGTGTCATGCTGGGACTTCTACATTAAAATTTTGACCACTCGATCTAGATAAAAAAAACATAGCCCAATGTCAACACACTGTTGGATCAAGGCTCCCCACGCCACATCAGTCATGGGGGTTGTTTGACCATACTTTACCATAGTGGTCAGTGCGGATTGGTGAAAGGGGGCACCATTGGATGGTTAAAATATTTCTCACCACCGGTGTTAGCCCTGGACGGTAGTTGAACTCAGGTCGCCGGCTTCACAGCGCAGGGCGCAAACCAATGGTCTACCGCTCAACCTCAAGATATATACTGCACACAGATGACCTTTATTTATGGGCAGGTAAGGGCTCATTGAGACCAGAACTTTATCTTTCAAGGGAGACCTGAGGTTAAATATAGCACAACAAAGCAGAAACAAACTGTTAAATCACTTTTTAAAAATGTACAATAGATGTGTTATGTCATCCATGGTGCAATTATAAAAAAAAATGTACATCAACGTACATTTTTTATTTTGGTGACGGAAAACAACGGCAATGCATGTATGTTGAACTTCGTTCGCACCGTACGTCGCCGACCGTGCTAATCGGAGGTGCGGCGGGAGGACAACAAACTAAACACAAAATAACGTTCTAAAGAAATGAGTTTTCAATCTCGATTTTAAAATGCATAGCTCCAGTGCTGATGACAATTATCGCAAACGTAAACCCTTCGCTGTACCAAGAGAAGGAATCGGGAATGGGGGGGTCAGGTGGCCTCAAATCCAGAGGGGTGCCTCTGTAAGGACCAATGGGACCTCAAATGAGGCCTTGTGCCTCATCATTTCCAGCCATGTTTAAAACTGTAGTGAGATAGAATCCATTCTAAATTAGATTCAAACTTCAAGGAGGGATGAGGTAGATAAGTTGCCTGCTGCAGCAGTTTCAGCCGTCAGGAAAATCTACGGATACAGTTTGGAGACCATAGAGCTACGCGGGATACCAATTTACTATAAAGGTATATTACGGGAGACACTTGAAGATGTACAGCTAGTGCAGGCAAAGATTAGCAATAGATTTACCCATTCCTAGCATCGCAAATCATCAAACAAAAACACTGAATGTCTCTCAGAACTGGCTTTTGGAGAGTTGTTACAGCAGATAGTGATTGCAATTGATATGCGCGAACAGTATTCCTGCCAAATACGGCTCAATAGAGCTGAATTCACTGGCCTAACGTAGACCTTCATACTTGATGAATATAAACTGTAATCTCGCTGCCTGCTTCAGATGATGTTGCACAGCTTTTATGCTCAGTGACAGCTATAATCTGCATCTCACTGAAGAATGTAATACCCATACTGGCCTTCAGCAGTAGATTGAATAACGGTCTGGAAGTATGCATATTATGATATATACTCTTAATATATACAGTACGGTATATGTTTAAGGAGATTCTATCAATAAAATTGCCCAACTCAGGTGTATAAGCGTTGAAGCATGTAACAGTATATCATCATACCAAGGTCATGTCTAATTCCGGCGGAATGGTTGTGCAGTGGTTCACACACTCATATCCTATGAACCCAACGACTCCGGGTTTTATTCCTGGTGAGTGATATCCAAAGTCTGAACCGGTCCTGGGACGCCTCTACCATATTATTTCACATACAAGCATACATGTTACTTCAATAAAAAAAATATAAATTACTCAACTGGAATATATATGGCAATCATAGCCGACTGCTGCAACTAGCTTGGCAGGACTCTGCTGAAGAAGTCATGGGACTCAATGAAGCTTTCCTGGGAAACCACGCAACATTTAAATATGCATTAGAAAGACAAGATTTCCTACTCGAACTAGGTTGCGGTTAAATTTTGATTTAAAGCATTCGTGACTGCAGTAATATATATTCTTAGCTCTTTCGGTAAAGTCACGTTGAAGGCAAACAATACAATTATAAAATATATATAAAACAATAAAAGTTCTCACGACGTTTAGACCATAACACAAACGTTTGTGTTATGGTCGAAACGTTATGGTCGAAACGTCGTGAGAATTTTTATTGTTTTGAATATATATTATTATTTTATTGTTTCCTTCAACGTGATTTTACCGAAAGAGCTAAGAATAGGTTGCGGTTAAACGAACATTTACAACATTAAAATCACGTCACCCACACAGTTGACTCAGGGGAGCGCAAGTACACAAAACCTGCTCATATTGAACCGTATTTGTATATGTTTTGTGTGTGTTATGTCATCTAAGGGACCCTGCCGTGCCCTAAGCCCTAAGGGGCTAATCTGTCAAATGTTTAGATTTATTCATGAATTTCTGAAGTGCCTGGCAAAATACTGAGGTCAATGGTGTTGGTGAACACCGTGTGAACAACCGAATTTTTGTATGCCTCGCGTGTGTGTTATACATATAATTATGTACAAATATAATTAACAGACTTTGTAAATCCACTGTATTGGAGGCCTCCCCATGCCCTGTCGATCATGGGGGTTGTATAATCATTCTTCACCACGCTGGTCATTTCGAGTTGACTAAGGAAGGCCCAGGTCGGTTCAAATATCACTCACTATTGATGTTATCTGTGGCCTTGAAACGACCTTAAGTAGCAGGTTTCACAGAGCAGCGCTCTAACCACTAAGCCACAACTCCACCGATTAATTTCCTAGTCTAGAATGCTGCCTCTCATGTATAGTATGTATGTTGAACTTATTTCGCAACGTACGTAGCCAACCGTGCTAATTGGTGGTGCGGGGGAAGGACAACAAACTGAACACAAAAAGCAGTTCTCAAGAAATGAGTTTTCAGTCGGGCCTGCAACGTTTCAACTCAGGACTCAGCCCACCTTCAACATTTTAATCAAGTCAAATATTGACGATACAGTATTTAACACCAGTGGCAGGTTTTTTTCCCCTTTATATACAGGGTGCTTCGAAAAAATGTTAACATTTACATGGGACTATCGTTTTTAATGGACAAACAACGGTTAATACACTGTAACATGATAACAAATGAAATGTTAATAGCTTGAAAAAGTCAAAGAGTTTCCACTTGTTCACCATCATTGTCAACACGTGGCCTGGAATCTTCTCCAGGTGGTCTCCAGAGCCTGGAGGCGGCACATTTCTTGTGGTATTGTTGCAAATTCTGTAAAAAAAAATTTTTAAGCACCTTGTATGTGCATCAAACTAGAGCAAAATGCATGCTAAACAAATACGGGCCATACCACTACTCATAATTTGTGCCAATTAACATTCGTTTCGAGTTTAACATTAACCGCGTCGTGCCTCCCCGAGTTATTGTACAGACGTTCTGGGTTGCACCCCATACTCAGGAGCAGAGCTCGTAGGTTGGTCCCAGTGAAGAGCTCAGCGAGCACGTTGGAGACATTGCAACCGGATGCCTCCATGTGCAGGTTGGCCCAGGCCGTGTATCCGCGAATCCTCGTGGACAGAGACATCTCCTCGCCGCCTGCCAGGTAGAGGGACATGGAGGAACTGAGACTGACACGCCAAGTGTGGGACACCGAGGATCTGTCACTTGTACGACGGTCATTGCTAGAGCCGTACTCGTGGTCTCGTTGTCAGAATCGGCATGTTTATGTTTCACTGGAGGAATCCGATGAGCTATAAAGCTCTTTTCTTGTTTTACAGATGTCCAGTAGGGGCGGGGGTCAGAACGTTACAGCAACAGACAAAAAAAACACGATATGAGTGCAAAGTGTAGGAAAGGTAAGCAAATCACACAAAAAAACTCAAGATATATTTTCAGAAGCGACCTGGCCACAAATGATAGCTCAACGAAGCGGCTTAACAATGTGGAAATGTATCGCAGCCAAAATAATCTAAACGCATGTTTCTAGATGTGCAGGGAAAAACTCCGGAGGACCCGGAGAAAAATAAATCCACGCGACCACGGAGAGAGAGAGAGAGGGACACGAAAAATCCACATATACAGGTGTCAGGGTCGGGATCGAACGCTCCGACCTCCTGCATACCAGGCGAGTTCGTTAACATCTCGCCACCGTGGCACCCCTCAACATGAGCCTGCAACAATGTGGGGAAGCCAACCACTCATCAACGGAACGAGCCAAACATTCCGATGCAGGACCCTTCGGAAAAGAAAAAAAAGTGTTTAGATGTCAATGTGGCTTTCCTGAGTATAGAATACGGTGATTAGTATTAAGATGAATATATAGTGCAGTACATTATTATATATGCACTGCGCTGGAATTGGGGCTCCTAAAAGGATTTGTAAACCCTGTAACCCTATCAATCCTAACCCTCACCCTAAACTGCTTTTTGTCCTTCCCCCGCATCACCGATTGGCACGGTTGGCCACGTACGGAGCGAAAGAAGTTCAACATGCGTACGTATAAAAAAGCAGCCGTGTAACGACGCACAAATTCACCGATTTATTTTGACTCTTAGGATCACGACAGCTGCATTGCATCACAGAGCGTGTGTTAGAACGTGAGTCGTTGGGCCCCGTGGGTTTTCTTTGTTCCAATACAACGGGGTCACGCGGCATTGACCTGGTGCACGTCGCCTCTGCTGCCACTGGCGACGATGCTGCCGATTGCCGCAATGCGAACGAAGCGTTTCCTGGTCGAATTGTAAACAACGAATTCGTCAGCCAATTTATCGACTCGCCAACGGGATCGAATCTTGCCGCCCCCACTGTCGCAGCCTTCACGCGTTTGAAATTACAATACTGCGTTCTGTCGTCGAGTTGATTTTATCGTTGCAGGACACTTTCCACATATTAACGAGCTATAATTTTGATTTAAAGCGTTCGTGAAGGGAAACAATAAAATAATAAAAATATAAAACAATAAAATTCTCACGACTGCAATACACGCAATCATCATCAAATGTGAAAACCACAGCAAGAAATTTTTTGAAAAAAGTGGCATTTTTTTAACGTTAGCACCACGGAGAGCGATTTGTCAGTTATTCAGATGGACGAGTCCATCTATGTTCGGAAAAGAGGAGGGGGGGAGACGAAAATAATGGATGCGGTCTGAAAGCCACCGTAAGCGTGAACAATCAATTAAGACCCAAAATGGTTTATCAAATCCTTCCAGTGATTGCTAGGCCAGAATCCATCTTCTCGGTTGAAATTGTCTCTGTGTTTGTATATGTGGATAGCCTCATTAACGAATCTCTCATGGTAGCCAGATGGCTTGCAGAGAACCTCTGTCTTGGAGAAGTCAATGTCATGTGAACCTACTGAATTACAACAGTGATCTGCCACGGCCGAGGTGTTGGTCCTACCGTGTTTTAGGTCTGCTTTATGTTCACGGATGCGGTCCGAGACATGTCGTTTGGTTTCTCCAATGTAACTACCACAGAGGCAACTTAGTTTGTAGACGCCAGGGTACTGTATGTCTGGAATCACATCTTTTACAGACGGAACCAGATCACGGATTTTATATGTGTTGAATCGGACCTGGATCTTGTTTTATATTTTTATTGTTTCCCTTCTACGTGACTTTACCGAAAGAACCAATAATATGAGCTATAATTTATTCAATGCTAATAGAATAAGCATGTATTGTTCATATATATACTGCATACACTCTGCAGTATATATATGAAAATGAAAAACAAGATTATATATTTAAAAAAAAACAAGAGATGATCTATTGCAGTCATATATCACACGTTGCAGAAAGTGGATGACAGAGTGGTGTGTAATAATAATAGCACGGTATTGTTTGCAGTGGTTCTCAAACGAATTTGGTGGTGCCTGCAGATAGATCACTGTCGAACCCTCAATAAGAACACTTTTTTCACAAATAAAACTCCAGTACTGTACACTAAAAGCACTGTGAAATGTTAATCTAAGAAGCCTTAAAACCCGTATATTTTTATTCATTAAACTAAATAATTGTGTAATGGGCAGTAAAATTATACGGACCGATTCGCACGGTTTTATGGACTATATGGTGGTTAATTTGTAACTTGTAAACTACTAACACGTGTGCTTAATAACACCTATGAATACTTTGTAACTGTATGATGAATGTCATAAACAAATAAACACCATCAACGTTTATTTCACAGGTTTACACGTCACTTCCAGTTTAGGATGTTTCATATTGGTACAGGCACTAACACGCAACTGTACCTTAATTTACTCAGAATGGATTCCTTTACAACTTGAGATTTAACACTGCAGTACTTACCGAGTTTAATGAACAGCTACCGTGTTACTTTAATAATTGAATGAGCGATTATTAGTGTGATTAATCCACTTTAACACGCAACTTACCAGATAGTTATGTTTGTTCAACAGCAGTAGCGCCACCACAATTGTTGACGTTAAAATATTTTGATGGCAAACTGTTAAAGAAACACTTTAAGGGTACGACAATATTTACTAGTTTTTAGTGAGATACAAAATCTCAATCTACACCCTTCTATTCTGCACGGCCTCCTCCCTCTGGCAGCCTTCAAGAGAAAGGCTGCAGTGTTGTGGTTACAGCCGAGATTGACTTTCCCAGCAACGAGGGCCTTTTCAATAAAGTCCCAAGGTCCCCCCTCCCATTATTCACAAGCACTGAGCTCACACAAGGCTCTCTCGATGCTATTCCACCGAGCGCAGCTGCAGTCTATCAAATCGGGTTCTAAATCAGGGGCACGTGCATCTTTTGTATTATCAATGTGAGCATCTCCAATTAATTAGTCTAATTTCCTCCAACTGGAAAATACTGGACGAATAAATCCATTGAGGAGCCACTTGACTTACAAAGTATTTTACACAACGGCCTTACCACCGTGGTATTTTATTGGCATGTGCAGTCCACACAACGCATATACATGTTTTTTTCATGTGGAAACTTTAAAATCGTTAAATTCTTGAACCCGGAATATTCAACATGGACATTTTTAAAAACTATTATTTTTTCTCTTTGCTAAATTAACAAAGCCAGGTGGCTCAAGAGGTTAGAACACTTGAGCTGGCACTGCTGAGATTCTGGATTTGAAATCCAGTCAGTTGTGATTAACCTTTCAACAGGTTGTGATCTCAGCCCAGTCCCCAGTGAATACACAACTCCCCCCAAATAAAATGCATTTTAGCTCTGCACTTAATGCGCTAAATTCAAGTGCTATGAATAATAAACTTCGGTTTGACTATTGTGAAAGGAATCTCTCTGTAGTAGGGTACATTGGAAAGTGATGCCCCTGGTGTGGAAGAGGTCACTTTATATTTTAGAAGATCTGTGATATCTTCTTCAGGGGACTGTTCTCTCAGAAGGGGAGGGGAGTACTTCTCTACGAGAGTTATGAGTGGGTTTTCACAAGACACCGATAACACAATTGACATAAAATACAAGAGAAAGTTGAGTTCCACATTTTATTGAGAAAAGTTCGAAACAAATATCAACATCACAAAGCCATACATTATGTAGTCTATTCAACCAATGTTTTACAAATGTAAAAGGAACTGTGAGAAATAGAAATCTGAAAAGCGCTCGTGCAATATGCATAACTTGAAAGAAGCTTCAGAGGCATTACAATAAATAGACAATCATTAAATGATTAAATTGAATCGTCTTCCATTCATGATACATGCATCCAATCAAATATACAAGTTTTGATTTGTTTAATGTGATTAATGGACTCCTCACCAGAAACGTAATATTAAAGATGCACCTCAATGGTTTATATCAATTGTGGCCACAATAAAAAAGGAATCATACAATCAGAGGTTTGAAAAATATGACATCCCCATGCTATATCACAACTCTTGCATTGCCGAGAAATAGCGTGAATAAAAAATATACAATCAACTTTGTATCACTTTCTGCCATCTTGTGGATGCACATTGATGACAATCACACCTCCTATTTAAGGCCCAAAACTGCCAAATATGCAGATGTTTTGCAACTGCCCATGATGCTGGCTGTAACTACCAGAAAAATCTCATACAAAATTGTTAAAATAGTCCAGAATTCATTAATAGCTCACATTACAAGGGAAGCACATGAACAAAGGTCCACAGAAATAGGTCAAAAACTAAATTTGTACTTCCTTCAACACAATGCTGGTGGCTGACAAATTTTGTGCTGTGCAATGCTATTCTGTAACGTGTCCTCTGAGCTAGATTGCCTTTGTTTGGACCACACTTATAAATATTGTCTCCTGCACCGGGTGCACACATTAGAAATTCTAGTTGAAGCTCTGCAAACATCCGTTCTCTCACAGGACCTGATGCTTTAAACCCTTTTCCTAAATATCAGATTACAGACAAGTTTTACTATTACAAACTCGGCTCGGTGGGTTTTACAGATTTAAACATGGATTTCACAAATGTTTCTATTAAATGTAAATGTTTAGATTTAATTACAATATAATTCCTAATGTAATACGGATGTAGTTTCATTGTCTTTAATTTCATGGTTATTTTACACGCTCCAAAAAAATCAAGCTTTTTTACATTGCCCTCGATCAGATATAGGCAGAGAATACTTAAGCTAAATATCAGTCGTTTAAGTCAATGACTTCGGTGACAAGCTTTCAGTGGTCATTGAGTGGCTCCGCGATTTGCCTGGATCTTCGACAGGAGGTGCTCCATTTGCAGCTGCAGCCGTGGCTGCCCCTTCTTGGTTTTCTGCGAGAGCATGCGAAACGTCTCCTGCCTGCGCTGCTTGTGCTCCTTCATTGCCTTCTCCCTCTCCTCCTTCCGCCGCTGGATCTCCTGAACACCGCGTTAAATAGTGCAAAGGAATCGCCTTTGTTTATTCAAATTACAGAGCCGACCTACTTAAGATAATGTATTTACTGTCAATGGTAAACATGTTGACATATACACATTTTACTTTAAATAATGCTTAATGTCGCTTAATAAACATCACAGTTGCTATTTGTTGCATGCATGTAAATTCATGCAATAACCTTACCTCTGCTTTGTTTGCTTTTTCTGTATTTATTCTCTCAAATTCTTGTTTGGCTTTCTGATATGAACTTGGTTTCTTTTTTCTGAAAAATAGAATATAAATTAATATTGTACATAAACTTCCATCACCAGTTATGTTTGGAAATAACTATATACAGTAATACCTTGGATTGCGAGTAACTTGGTCTGCGAGTGTTTTGCAAGACGGGCAAAAATTTAAATAAATTTTAACTTGATAAACGAGCGAGGTCTTGCAATACGAGTAGTACGTACACGCTTTGTCTGCCGAGCGTCACGTGATCACAACTGAGCCGATGGTTCTTCTCTCTCTCGCTGCGGGATTGTGGGTAATCGTCTCCCATGTTCGGTCTCAGTCGGCGTGCCTCGCTCGTATAGTCAACATCCGTGCGAGAGTATACTGTTTACGATAGTGTTGTGACCACGTGTGAGTGCGTAAAGCATTTTTTTTATTTTGTGTCCAAGTGTAGTAACTGTTTAGTAACTGTACTGCAACAATGGCCCCCATGAAAATCTCAAAAGGAGGGAAAAGCAAGTGTCATTGGATAAGTCCCTTGTTAAAGTCGCACAAAAATATTCCAGTGAGCCAACAGATGTCAGTGATTCGGTTAGTGACAGTGAAAGTCGTCCTACACAATAAACCTCCTCCTCCTCTCTCTCGTCTCCCTCACACCAGCCGTGATTAAATTAAATTAATAAATTTGATTACTTTATATTAAAGTTAAATAATACAAATATAAAAAGGTATTTTGAATGAATAATTTTTATATGAATATTTTTGGGTTGTGGAACGAATCATCTGAGTTTCCATTATTTCTTATGGGGAAATTCACTTTGATATACGAGTGCTTTGCATTACAAACACGTTTCCGGAACGAATTATGCTCGCAATCCAAGGTTTTACTGTATATATATACACACACACAATACAAAAGTGAATGATATAAATGCCAACTTAAAGCATTATCACAAACAACCCTGATAATGAAGTCAATGTTTTTTAATAGTTTTATGTTTAATTGAGTCATAAAAATTAGGCATGAAACGATTTATCCTCAATGATATTAACTGTTACGATTTGTGCAGTCTAGTTCACTCCACCCCAAAATTGTCATAACATTTCAACATAATTAACAAAATATGATCAATACTTACACGTATAATTGCAAGCATGCTATACTACACATACACAATATTTGAATTGACGAATCAATGCTTCGTCGCGTTCCTAATAAAGATATAGGCAAGACAGCATAAAGTCAGATTTGCACCACTGCTCATACCTACCGCACTGGCCTCATCATCTCTGGTTCAGCGACACCGAGTGTCTTCTCCTCCGCTTCGTACAGATGCCGCAGGTGCTCGGGGTAGTCTGCCTCCACCTCCGGCGATGAGCTCTGCTCCGTCTCCTGTCGTGTCGCCCCCTTGCCCGCTTGAGGCCCTTCCATCCACGGCTGGGCCGGCCGGCCCCACCTTTGTCCCTTTCCCTGTTCGGCCCTTTGGCTAGGCCCCTGCTGTGTTGTCACTCGGCCTTGGAGGGAGGGCCCTTGCCCCATTTTTCGCAACATTTTCTTGTACCTATGCACAACAATTTCCTTCTTTTTTGCTATCATATCTATAGGAGAGAAATTGAGAAATGGCCACATCAAGCGTAGAAGAAATTAAGATTTGAAATAAACAAATGTAAGACTTGTCAGAAACAATAACATTTGTATTTAATGAAATACTTAATACTGGAAGTCTGCCCACAAGAGTACTCCAAGTCAAGAGCACAGAACATCACTTTCAGATTAATTATGCAATCTTGATTTGAAGCTTTAATTATGCAATTTTGGAAGCTTAATAGTGAAATAATTTATTTATTTAGCTATGATTACCCATGTTCAATTCGGGCTCCAACAAATATGCCCCAGCGGTTAGTCGATTTTACTCAGGTTTTTGGGGATTTGTAACGGACAACACATTCACAATGACCAATGCCTAAACGAAGTGTCTCCATGCTCAAAAACGCAAGGGGTAGCAGGGAGGGGAGGTGTTCTAATAATCTCTGTTGACTGTTAAGGCAGTCCCATAAGTCAGATGTAGACTCAATCACAACCATGATGGAATCCCTGGGGTTACAAAATGCACATTAAATATGTATCATTACAGGAAATAATTCATCTCAGTGGTCTTTCACGTAGCTTAGCAAGGATTGAGGTGGTTAATTTCATAGCCCACGTATGATTTAATTCACGATAGAGCATATCCCTGTTCAAACGATCAGTGATGCGATGCAGAAACCAGTGGTGTAAATTCTGTATTTGCTTGGCAAGGTCCACTTGGTCTATAGTTTGTTTCTGGTATTCCCCCACTCATGTGGCGTCTGCTTCACCGGTAATTTTCTCTCCTCATTCCCCCGCCCTGGGCCATCTTCATGCCCCAACTGTCGACTCCCCACAAACACTGTATGTACATATTAAAGATACGCCGGGTGAATAATGATCCTTGGGATACATCCAATTGGGTCTCTCACTAGGTTGCGTTAAGCAACGCGATCATTGGGGGGGGGCGACCCTAAAGCCAGTGATGAAAATTCCTCATACCACGGCGGGGATGCTATAAATTCCATCATTAGCCACTTAGTTGAGCGATCATTTGTGGCCAGGTCGCTTCTGAACAAAGAGCTTTGTATCTAAGTGAGCCTTACGTGGTATAATAAACAAGGTATACAAACGTAAAGTGATTTGTTTACCTTTCCTATACTTTGAACTCCTATCGTGTTTGTATTGTTTATTGTTCTAACTTTCTGACATGCCCCAAACTGGGCATCTGTAAAAAAAAAGAGCTTCATAGCTCATCGGATTCCTTCAGTATTAATACGGATTCTGATCCTATCCATAATGACGACGTAACGCAGTCGGGCGAGCTTGTTTAAAAATAGGGAGCGGGGAATAGGACAATAAATATGAAACGATACTTTCAATAAATGTTAGACGCTGCAGAACATCAGGCTCGAATGCCTCTCACCCAACCCCCGGTGTTACAAAAGGAACCTCACGAGGAACGCGCCCGCAACATCGCCACGGGGTCGCAGCTTTAGCAGGGCAAGTTTGTTTTGGACTGCGAGCCCAGCTGCTATCGTTTACGAAAGGGGGGGGCGATTATACTGTTGATCCCCTTTTTAAGTTGTGTAATTAGCGATTTGCATTATGTAATGACAACTTGAATACCGCTATTAACGTATAAGAATACGTTTTACCCTCCCTGGCAATAAAACAGGCGTTAAGGTGTTCAAACACCTAAAAGAAACTTCTTTGCAAGGAAGCAAGTCTGGATAAAACCACACACGGGGCTTGTGGTGAACATGTAAACAAACATGTTCTGACAACATTTGGCTTTGTCTTTGAAACTGATTGACCTAACACCGGAGACAGCAGCCTTCTCTAAGGCCAAGCCTCACCAGTGTCAGACTATAGAACGCCAAAAGGCGAATAGTACGAGACCAATGCCACTATCAGAGCATTCATAGCTCGGGTGAGCAGCTACAAACTTTGACCTTTTTGCCAGTATCAAAGTATGACGAAATAAGGGTTACCCTTTCCCAGAAAATGTGTATTGCCAGAAAGGGTAAAACCTATTCTTATTTTTTCACACTTTGATAACTTGCAAAAAGGTCCCATGTCGTTTTTCACGTCTTTGTCGTTACGGTACAGAGTGGAATCGCCTTAAAACTACTCAACCAGCAAGGTTCCGAGGACAAACAAATGAGGACAACTGTACATTTTGACTCGGCACAAACTGGTACTAACTTTAGGAACCACCCCACCCCACCCCCACGTCGCGATGCTGGGCCGGCCAGCACCCGACATGAGGCAGAGGCGGCGACGTTTCGGACCTCACGCCTCTGCCTCCTCCTCCACGTGGCCGAGGAAGCCGTGCACCGCACCTTCTCTGAACGCCGCGTGCGGGTTCTTGAACGCCTGCCCGTGCCTCCGCTTGCTGCTCGGCATCTTGTGTTTAGGAGCCTTGCCCCTGCGTGTCTTTGCGTCGCTCATCTCCCCTCTCGTCTCCCCTCTCGTCGCCTCCATGGCAGAACGGCGACTCTGGCCGGACCACACGTGGACGCGCACCACCACCGCCGCCACCCTGGGAAGCGCCCTATTGGCTCCGGCAGGATCACGTGGAGCGCCGCACGGCGCCGCGATTGGCCTAGAGGTCGTCTCACGCGGAACCAATCGTGTCGCGAGAAGGCGCGAACGCGGTCGATGCGCGCTGGGGAATATAAAACGTCGGAGGCGACTACGGAAAGCGCCGCAGGCCCTCCCCCGACAAAAAACGCGATTTGTAAATGCGCGGGAGTTTCAATTTTTCGTGCCAACATAATCTTTATTTATCCATAATACAGGTTTTTGGGGGGTTAGCATATACTGTACATTCTAAGAATGTTAAGCGATCTAACCCAAAAAAACTCTGTATTATGGATGTTAGTGGTCGCGAAAGCCTACGTGTTAGAATTTTTATTTATACTGGAGGAATCCGATGAGCTATAAAGCTCTTTTTCGCAGATGTCCAGCAAAATCAGTTTAACACTTAGCAGGCTTTCGCGACTGATATCATCTGTAATATAGGGTTTTTGGGGGTTAGATCGCGTAAATAAGTGTTGTTAAACCCGCCACCACCAAACACAGCCAATTAGTAAGGTTTGTCACGTAAACAGAACATGCCAACTCGTAACTAGTACAGCACCTATATTATGTCCAGCAAAATGTTTAATGTTAGCCAACAAGTAAACCTACGTTTGACAATTTGAAACGAATTCAAAGCATGTAAATGCTAAAAGCGTCTCCTGTAAACGATGCATTATTGGTAAACCAAGGAGACTCGAGCCTGGATAGTGCTTGAATGTGGTACTTACTGCACGTTTTAAGCTCCCGTTCCATTTATTTGGTATAGCCCTGTGAGCCATTCGGCTCTTGAATCGGGTGCAACCGCAACAAAAACATGAAAAAGAAAACATCTTAAAGTGACTTTGTGTGACTGTGCAAACAGAAAATCCATGGGAAAAAAACAGCAAAATATTCCTGAAAAAGCACCGTACACCAACACTGTGTGCAAAAATCCCAGTGGGATGCAAGTCAAACAACAACCACAAGACAACTAAGATTAAAGCCATCAGTCTAACTCCGCACTACAACAAAACAAACATGGCCAAACCAAAATACGTTTTCGACATCACCAAAATAAAGCAATGTAACAGTGATCATAGGAACTGTGACCGATTTTTTTAAACAATAAACTACATAAATAACATGCACCACCAAACCCTGTAGCCCACAGCTGGCTGCATGAGTCACTCCACAACAACAGGAGCACCAGTCGGAGTATCACATTTTTCAATGCACCTCTAAGATAACAGGTCTTACAGGTTGCTCACGGGGGGCTACGTGGTGATAAGATCCACTGCTGTAATATGCTCCTCGCCTTCAGCACACATTGGGTGGTGAATCATAATCAAACTAAACACTTTTTTAAATTATTTTACCAGGAGCTATACGGCTCTTGTTTCAGAAGTCGACCTGGTCACAAACGATAGCTCAACGAAGTGGCTTATTGCATGGAAATGTACAGCACTAAGCCATACAATCTAAACGCGTGGTTCGAAATGAGGATGAGAAAACAGGGAATACGCGGGAGACAAATCCACGAGGAGACAAGACCCCGCAAACTACACAAATACAGCAGGCACAAGGGTCGGGATCGAACCCACGGCCAATCCTTCCCTCCGTCCCCAGGTAACCCCACCGTGATTCCCGTACCCACTAAACCCACCTTCCCCATTACCACATCCCTATTCACCGTATCACCTTCAGCTACACCCCCCACCCCACTGTACCACTCATCCCTTGTAAAAGCGCCTTCAATTAAAGGCGCCTTTATAAAAAAAAATAAGATGACATCTGGCCACCGCGGCGCCTAAAAACAACCCCCGTAACGTCGGGAGGCTTCCATCCTGCAGTGGATTGAGCAAGACGGGTGCCTGCGAATGAACACGTTGCGCATGAGAACGTTGCGAAATACGGCCCCCCACTAAGTCAACATTCACTGCCGCTTGACACGATGGGGGGGGGGGGGTCCACATTTCGCAACCCTCCGTCACCGACGGTACGTCACTCGAGATTGTATTCCGCAGTGTTGATAGGCGACAGCGCTCCTCGATTGGTCAAAACTTTTAAGGGCCACGCCCTCTCCAGGCGAGTATTACCCAATCAGCGATGAGGCGACTTCTGTATTGTTGCTTACATGCTCTGGGAAATACAAACCCCGCTTGTGGAGATGACGTCATCGTCGTCGCGGCCTCGCCCGCCACCACGTTTGCACCTTCGGCGGATCGATTCCCGATCTGCGGAATCCAATCAATTCGATTTCAGAATCTATTAACGTTATCTCGCTTTTAGATACCGTAAATACTTATACGCTGTCGCAATTTAATTGTCCGGGCCCGCACGATCCTCCCACGCGATTCCCCGGCCCCAAAAAGAGTGCGCTCGCGTACAGAAGAAGAAATAAAAACAACCTCCAAAGCTTTCGATTGCCAAAATCGATACAAACGACTAACCCCCGAGTCGCCGAATCGATACACTCGAACTCCCTCGCACCAGTGGAGCGGAGCGCGGCTGCTCCATCGATACAGTTTTGGCCCTCGCTCGGCCCGCGGTGTGAGGTCAACTTTCGGCGACGCTCGTCGAGTCACCCGCGCGGTTCATTTAAACGAGCGGCGATGGCGAGCGGAGGCCACCTGTCGGCGCTGGTGCTGGCGCGGGGTGGCAGCAAGGGGATCCCGCTGAAGAACATCAAACCGCTGGCCGGGGTGCCGCTCATCGGCTGGGTGCTGCGCGCGGCCAAGCACTCGGCGGTGTTTGACAGGTGACGAGGGTGGTGCTGGTCACGGGGGTGGTGGTCACGGGGGTGACGGGGGTGGTGCTGGGGGTGGTTGTCACGGGGGTGGTGGTCACGGGGGGGGTGCTGGTGACGGGGGTGCTGGTGACGGGGGTGGTGGTGGTGACGGGGGTGGTGATGGGGGTGGTGGTGGTGGTGATGTGTCTCTGGAGATGTGAGGAGCCGGGGGGGAGGGGTTGTTGTTTGGTGGGGCAGTTGGGCGGCCTGGGGATGTGTACGCGTTGTGGAGTGGCGTGCACTTTGGGACATGTGTGAGGGTACGCGTTTTGGATTGTGTGGGGCGAGGGGCGGTTATGTGTGTGGTGTATGGGGGGGTATGTGTGTGGTGTATGGGGGGTATGTGTGTGGTGTATGGGGGGGTATGTGTGTGGTGTATGGGGGGGTATGTGTGTGGTGTATGGGGGGTATGTGTGTGGTGTATGGGGGGTATGTGTGTGGTGTATGGGGGGTATGTGTGTGGTGTATGGGGGGTATGTGTGTGGTGTATGGGGGGTATGTGTGTGGTGTATGGGGGGTATGTGTGTGGTGTATGGGGGGGTATGTGTGTGGTGTATGGGGGGTATGTGTGTGGTGTATGGGGGGTATGTGTGTGGTGTATGGGGGGGTATGTGTGTGGTGTATGGGGGGGTATGTGTGTGGTGTATGGGGGGTATGTGTGTGGTGTATGGGGGGTATGTGTGTGGTGTATGGGGGGTATGTGTGTGGTGTATGGGGGGTATGTGTGTGGTGTATGGGGGGTGTGTGGTGTATGGGGGGTGTGTGGTGTATGGGGGGGTATGTGTGTGGTGTATGGGGGGGTATGTGTGTGGTGTATGGGGGGTATGTGTGTGGTGTATGGGGGGTATGTGTGTGGTGTATGGGGGGGTATGTGTGTGGTGTATGGGGGGTATGTGTCTGGTGTATGGGGGGTATGTGTGGGGCGTGTGGTGTGTGTAAGGTTATGCGTGTAAACTGTGGGGGCCCTGTGTTGTATACTCTGGGGGTGTGCCTGTGAGCGACGTGTCAGTGCGTTGACGCGTGCATCCGTGGGGGGGTATGTGTATTGTACATCAGCAGTATGAATGAATGTGTATGCATTGTGTAGTTGTACTGGTGATACGGTACTTCAGAAGCGGTAACTTGAGTTAAACTATTGAAAGGTTACGCAAATGCACCTTCATTGCAGTTCGCGAGAGTGGGTGTCTGTGTCAACGTGGGGTTGTTACTCATACGCCAGTCTTGACATCATCCTGTGCGTGCATTCTTGCATAGGATACTGCTGATTGTCCCACCGAGTTAGAGTATACATTGATAGGGAAACATTTACTCGGCCAATAAAGCAATAAAGGGGCCATCCATTTAGTACGTACGCATGGAGGGGGGAGGGTGGTTAACCCAAATTCGTACTCCTGCGTATGGGGGGGGGGGTCTATTGACAATGTACGCATAGGAAACGGGGGGGGGGTGGAGTGAAGCCTCGATAATAAAGCAGCCTGCGGTGGACTATCTGTTTACTTAAACACGTTAATATTATTCATCCTTGATCGTTTCTGCGTGGATTAAATATCGGCCGTTCTATAGGATTCGGGGGAGGGTGGGCAGGGGTCAAGTTTTGACAGATCTTTGCGAACCTACTAAATGGATGGCCCCTAAGAACAAAAAAATAACTAGCCGAATGGAAACTCGTTTTAAAATATTAACAAACGCTTCGTGTTCGTTCTGTTTTCTAGTCCTACCGGCTACCACTCAAGGCGTCACACCCGCTTTGAGGGGCTCTATTCCTGACCCTTTGCGTGTTCTCAGCAACTATTTAAAATATTAACTTTAGCAATAAACCATTCAAAGGTTACTTTAAGCAGGCATCGTTGCAAATGTACAATCAGTTGCTGTCATTTACAATGGCACTGTTTGGACTGCAGTATTATACAAAGGCCTTCATCTGCTTTGAGATAAGGCTTACACATTTTGGGCCCAAAGGTCACTCAGATTATACGAAAGACTTGGAGAAAAAAAATCACAATTGATATGAGCATTCGCCTCTTGATTATCCAGGGTAATGGGAAGAGGGGTGGCCTGGGAAAAAATAAACAACTCGGGTTCTACAAAACGTGCTTAAAGTGGGGTGTAAAAGAATTATTGTTAGCCTACGTAGAATGGGAATGAAGACGTAGAATTTGTTTGAATTGTTTTTTTTAAGTAAATTGGTTGACTCGTCGAGTTGTGGCCACGTGAGCACATAACCCCCAACGAGTGATGAGCATCTAATAAACCGGGGCTTGTGTAGCAATGCTTTAGTTTTTTTTATCAATCACGGCCAATTTGCAACCCGGATAATCCGCCCACTGCGGATAATCGAGACTTAACTGTGGGATTAATCGTGGTAAGATGTATTTGCTTGATCTGCAGTTGTCTGATTAATCCCACAAAGTAAACAGTGGTGGATAAGAGCAGACTTTAGTTTTAAAGGTCTTAAATGTTGTGACTCAACAGCATTTGGGTTTCGACTGACAATGACGACATTGAGCGAGTGGCGAAGAAGTTTGGAGCCAAGGTCCACCGGAGGTCCCTCGAAGTGTCCAAGGATTCCACCTCATCCTTGGAGACTATTCAGGAGTTTCTGAAACAACATGACGGTGAGTGGCAGGAAGCGAGTGGTTGCTGCTGTGCGTGTCCCATACTATGAATGGAAAAAAACAAACAAATCCTTATCACAGATAATGTAAGTTTTCCCGAAACTTTGGGGGGAGGTCTCATGGCATTGCCCCTCAATGAGCAGGATGTGGAAGGTAGTGTGATCACCAAGAGCAGTTCGGAGACACCAGTTGCATGGTACTGGCTACAGCCATCATCTGTGTTATGTCAGCCATAATTACGTACTTGAGAATGTATGTTGACTTTCTTTCACACCATATGTAGCCAACCATGCTAATCGGAGGTGCGGGGGAAGGACAACAAACTAAACACAAAAAGCAGTTCTAAAGATATTTGTTTTCAACCGAGATTTAAAAGTGCATAGCTCCAGTGGTTTCCTAATGTTGGAAGGAGAAATTTACTTACCCAGTCTCTTATCAGTGGGGTAGCATGGTTGGCGTGGACCCTGGTGCAAGGAATTAAATGGATGGGACCCCCTGCACAAATTTGTCCCTCTTCGTAATCCGGTGCTTGGGCCCCTCTGGATTGTGGGTCGCAGCACTTTTGCACCATCTACGCACTCAATAGTTACGCCACTCAACTCTAAGACTAGATATGACGTGTGTGTGTGTTTTGGATTCCCTAGAAGTGGATTCGGTGATGAATATCCAAGCCACTTCACCTTGCCTTCACCCTGAGCACCTGCAGGAGGTGATCAGCATGTTCCGCAGTGGACAATACGACTCGATCTTCTCAGTTGTGCGGCGACACCACTTTCGCTGGCAGGAGGTCAACATCAAAGGTGAAGCCTCTGGGAAGCTTAGCAGCTCATGCTGCACGCAATTTAACTTAATAGCAATTAGCTTTTTGTATATATGTTGAACTTCTTTCACACCATACACAGCCAACCATGCTAATTGAAGGTGCGTCTCCATCTTACGATTGCATCGGAGGTGCAGGGGGAGGACAACAAACTAAACACAAAAAGCTTTAGCGCCTTACGCCTAAGAATGAAAAAGCTTTTTTACAATATATTGGTAACCACTTCTTTAGAACACTAGATGTCAATGTCTTTGGACATTTTTATGAATGTAACTGATTTTCTTACATTTTCTTGCAACCTTAGTCTTTGTTCAATAGCCAACGATTTGTGTTTCGAATGATTTGTATGCTTCTGTAACATGCATCCAATTGTGTTTCCAAGAGTAAACTCGTTACACTTTTACACTTATTTTACCAAATGCTCAATTTAGGTTAATGGAGATAATGAGATACAACAAGCCAGAAAAATACAAATGTTATAGGAATTAGATTTGAAAAAAGTGATTTCTCAATGAAATTGTGACCCCCAATTGTAACAATTGATCAGTCTTGATGAGAGTCTGGACAAATAATCACATTCTAAATATCCAATATTCATTTGAAATTAGTCTAACTTTCATATTCATTATGGCTATACTGATAAATATATGATGGGAATATCAAGGAGAGACAGGAGATGAAAATACTGATAATGAAAAAGAGCTGGGAATAAAGACATTAGATGTACAAAGAGAGATTGCAAAGCATCCTCCTATAGCAACAGTGGAGCATGACTAGAGGTTACCAACAGAAAAAGTTGTTGGACAATATTGTGGAAGATGGCTTGGATCTGGGCTTCACATTGCCTAAAGCAGACAGACTTGGCAGAGACAGGAATGGTTGTCGATTCGCCATGAGTGGGCTGCCTGCACATGCTGACTCATCAGCACCACCAAGGCATTAAGTCGGATAATATTAATTTACACGTTTAGCGGGACCACAATAAAATAAGATGTTAAAGGTGGAGGTGTAACATCAGTCCTTAAGCTTACAATACATCGAATGGCGTGAGTAAGAATGAATGTTTTTCGATTTGTTGAATTTAATGGGTTCATGTGAAACCAAGCTGCCACTAAATTCACCACGGGATAAGAAAAATAATTGATTCCTGAATTGAATTTCCAGTCTCAGTTGTGACAATTCATAGATCCCTGGGGGTGGAGGGTGAATTGTTAGACGTCTAATGTTTAGTAACGATAGCGCTCTGATGTGTTTGCGGATTATACCACGTATTTTTCTGCGTCATGTCGTACACTTTGCTCCACGTGCTGGGAGGGTCTGTTCTTGAAGAAGCTTCACGTCGGACAGCACGTCGAATAACACTCGGCACAAACTCGAAAACACATTTGAGAGCAACACAGCACAACTGCGAAAACCTCGGCAGTGCTTAATAGTAGAGGTTTGCGCTGGCTCAGCAATGTCTTAATTCCTCTCCGCTGTGCGAGCAGAAGGGGAGGTCACGGTTCCCTTGGGACACAACCCCGCCAAAAGGCTGCGGCGCCAGGACTGGAGCGGGGAGCTGTGTGAGAATGGCTCCATCTATCTCGCCACACGGAAAATCATAGAGGACGGCTACCTGCAGGTGAACGCCTACCACTCATCCTGAGCCTGCAGTGCTTTATAATGACTTAAGTCGACATATAAATACACGCTGTGGACTCTGTAGGTCCGCTGGATTAAGGCCTTGCCATACCGTGTGGGTCGCGGGCATTCTTTGACCATACTTCACTACACTGGTCAGTGCGGGTTGGTGGAGGGAGTGTTTTTCTGGGGAGTTTGGTGGGGGGGGATGGTGTCCAGGACAGGTTCATATATCACGGGATACAATTCATACATAATAATTCATAATAAACCTTTATTATGAATAATATTGGTCGCGAAAGCCTACGTGTTAAACTGACAATTCATACACATCAAGCATACTTTCTGTGCTACACGCCTACATATGGTTATTTCACACAATATTATCTACCAACTCCACCAGTGATGAATGCACTGTATTACAATGCACAGGGCTTTTCTGCATCTGCGCATACTGATATTTTAACCCCTCCATCTCTGCAGCACGGCAAGGTTGGCTACTATGAGATGAAGGCAGAGCACAGCGTGGACATTGACATAGACATCGACTGGCCCATCGCCGAGCAACGTGTTCTTTGGTAAGGTAGCCCATATGAACACATGGATACGTTTTGTCTGACATGCTGTAGATTGAAAACTAATTTCTTCAGAACTGTATTTTGTGTTTAGTTTGTTGTCCTTACCCCGCACCTCGGATGAGCTCGGTTGGCTAGGTACACTGCTAAAGAAGTTCAACATACATACTCCATCCTACTACTGAATTATCCTGTCCAGCTTTCACTGCTTCCTCATCTATCCCAACTTTAACCACCCTTGAGTAAGCAATTGCTCTTTTGCTAGCCTTACTTTCTATTTGGTTTTCCCCCTGACAAACTGTACTGCAAAGTCTCACTTCCAATTAAGGTTATCTCTGAAGAGCCACATCTTCCTAACCACCCTTGGCTAGTCTTTGCTTAGTCAGTTGCAATAAATCATAGCTACATTAGAGCTGGTTATGTTATTGGCTCATTACATTTAAATGGCAGTATACCCATTTGTAGTGTTTGTTGTTTTCATCATTTGTGTTGCTTAATCTTAAGTGTTTTTTTTTTACTCTTGACATCCTGGTATTCAAACCATGCTTAAGCAACACAAAGTGCCTACCATCATTTCTCATCTCCACCATTCCAATGCCCTGCTGTAGTTTAGCCAAGGGTACCCCCAGTGTAAGTGGTCCCTGTGTGGCACACGGTGTATGAAGCACCCGCCTTAAAACGGGCATTAGTCTGCTTGTATATATTTGGTTCGTACTCGCGCAGCACTGCCAACGCAGAACCTTTATTTTCTCCGCTTGTCAACATCTGAACAATTTTTGCTATGCAGCTCCGATGCGGGCATCGTGATCCGCGTGTTAAAACGGTGGGGTTTATATAACCGTTTGATGTGATGTGCACGGCAGCTACGGGTACTGTGGGGAGCAGCAGGCTGCTGGGATACAGCTGGTGGTGAGCGCGATCGATGGCTGCTTAACCGACGACCACCTGCGGGTGTCGTCGTCTGGGGAGGAGCACAGCACCTTCTGCGCGAGCGACATGGCGGCTATCAGAACCCTGCAGGGGAAGGGCGTGGAGGTATGGGGACGGGCGCCAGGCTTGGCTCGTTGCATCAGTGACACTTATTAAAACAAAAACTAACGCTCAAGAATAAAATCTAATTGTTAATATTATTACACCTGAGTATTGTTACGTGTGAGAGGAAAAGTGAATGCCCAGATGTATACTTTCCAGGTTATGAAATGCAAATTTGATATGGATTGCTCGACAACCTACTTGCTGCGTTGGCTCATACAGGCACCTCGCCGCCCTTGACAGTGTCACATGACAAGACTTCGGGAGGAGTGAGCTACCCGTTTTTTTTATTTGCTTGTCGCTGTCTTTCTCCTCAGGTGCGTTTTCTCTCGGACCTTAATCTGACGGTGCACACAAAATTCGCAGAGAAGCTTGTTTGCAAACTCAAGCAGGGCACTGCTGACAAGCTTTCCCAGCTGAACTCGTGGAGAGTGAAGCTTGGCCTCGGCTGGGAGCAAGTTGCCTACTTTGGTAAGGAACCGTTACCAACATTGACATAGTTTTAGGAATCTTCTGTGTACAGAAAATACTAGGGAGATCGTGATCCAGTATGATAAAATAGTTTGTAAGTTGTTATCGAGAAGAACTTATCCCATTATTTTTTAGAATGGAGCTGGACGTGGTGGCTCATGGTAAAGGTTTGTATAACCACCAAGCCAAACCGACAGGGCTGAGAGATGACCACATGATGGCAGTATCACAATTGGGTTGCGAGTCCGGGTGTAACACTTTGGAGTGTTCTCATCAGGTGTTGGGTTTTTTTTTCAGGAGAATCTGTTTTTTCTCTCACATGTCAAGCACTCATTAATGGTATTGACCAAACATTCCATTGCAGGACCCTCAAAATACTTAAAATGACAATTAGAGTCCGATTGTTACCATTGTACACAGTTGAATCTTTTGTAATGAATTTCTCTTTCAAAAGTTATCCTCTCAACACTTTTGCTGGCAGATATTAATCTTAACCCCCTTTGCTTTTCTGCTTCTGATACCAAACTCAGGCTATGACAGCTCGGATGCAGGCTGCCTGCAGAAGGCCGGGCTGAGCGGGGTGCCGTTGTCTGCGGTGAGCGACTTGGCCAAGTCTTATGCTCGTTTCCAAAGCACCCTCAGTGGAGGTCAGGGTGCCTTCCGCCAGTTTGCTCTTTTCGTGCAGGAAACTAATGAGAAAACCAAGGTCGGGGACAACCAAAACGCGCCGCATCACAACGCCGTTGACGAGCTCGCCCCATCGAAGCAGGAGGCTAGCGAGAAGGCCAAGGTTAAAGAGGACCCTCCTCCAAAGCGTCATAGGAAAACGCACGCAGATGGAGCGACGCACGTCGAAACCCAATGAAGTCTCAACATTCCCCAACAACTCAGTGCTGCTGTAGCCTAATCAGCTAATTTTATGGATAATTTTGCTTTCAATTATACTTTTAGACAGTTGTGGAATTCCAGAGTGTGTAACCTGCAGCAGGAGGATGTGTTCCAGTTTTCAGTCCTAGGGGTGTAAAACACTAATGATAAACACGTTATGTAAAAGTTTGCGAAAAACTACTAAAGTCTAATCAGTATCTAATGCCACCAAATACCAATACCATTTGCCACTGCACTGTCATTGTATACTTGCAAAACATTGCTCGTTAAACCATCTTCTGAATAGCCCTCTACTACCTTTATCACAAGATATACATAAGAACAAAATGTCCTGCTGCGGCTTTATGCACTTTTCAGTTGAAATCCCAACATTTTATCATTAACACGTGGTATAATTTTAGTTATCCATTACAGTATTTAAAAACCAAGTAAAGCAAATTTGCTTCAAACTGAATGCGATACTAATTGCTCTGACACTTCCATGTCATTTTCATATGACACAGCAAGATGTGTTTTGCCACAAATGCATGCCTAAAGGAAAATTATACAACTGTGACTGAAACGTAACTCAACGTTCAACGTACACGCGTGCACAAACAATAGTTACCACGGTACCTACCACAATACAAGCACTGACCACGAGTACTGAAAGAAAGTTATTCTAAAAACTAACCTTGCAGTGGCACGCTATACATTGCTGTGCCAGTTCATGATTACCTGTACGTTATACATTGTCCATTGCGAACTCGAAGCGTGCGGGCCAAATGCTAAGTTATTGCATTGGCAAATACAGTTGATCATCGATGAATTATCCGGAAAGCAATTATCCGGCTTCAAACATTATCTGGGGGTCCCGGAGAAAGCGGCAAAACTGCGCCAAAAGCTGTAACCAGTCCGGTGATCGGAATCATGTACATGACAAAAAAGTAGCAATGGTTGATTTCAGTGTAAAATATTACATGCAGTACATTATACACTACATACAACTTAATGAAAATACTGCACGTATATACATCACCCCATGCAGTCTTCGAGATTGGAGTGGTAAGTATAGTACTGTAAGTACAGTCACTTTTTAAAGTAGGATGCTTATTTTTATCTATGGCAATTTCATAGTAAACAAATTAAAAACACAAGCATACACAAAATCTAAAAACAATGTCATACAAGAGTGACATTTTGATTTAAAGCTTTCGTGACTGCAGGGATTCATATTCTTGGTTCTTTCGGTAAAGTTATGTTATTGTTTCCCTTCTACATGACTTTACCGAAAGAACCAAGAATAAGAGTGACATTGTTCTACTGTATGTAGTGTATAATGTACTGTATGTAATATTTGTATGTAGCTCAGTGGGCCTCACCTGGACAATGGACGGTCGACTAATGTCACCGATGGAGCAAGGGCATGTGCCTTGAAGCGAGTCTCGTGGAGAGAACGGCATGAGTCTTGTGACGTCATGGATCAACGTTCGCACGTAATCGGTGACGCGTGCGTGCGCGCACGAGTTAATGTACAAGTTAGCAGTGTGTCTGCATTGCTGTGGACTTCAATGTGTAGTGGCTTTGCTCTCCAACACACTTGTTGGCTGTACTAGTCACGAATTGGCATGTTCTGTTTACGTGACGAATCTTACTAATTGGCTGTGAAGGGTTTAACGACATTTATATACGCGACGCGATCGAACCCCGCCAAGCCCCCCCCCGTATTATGGAAGATATTGGTCGCGAAAGTCTGCGTGCTACACTGTAGGGCTCTCTGTCATTGAGGTTGATTTAGCGCAGTGGTTCTTAACCTTTACTGAAGCCTTGCACCGCCTTTGGATCTCAATCGTAAAAAAAAATTGTCATGTTAATAAGTCCATAGGGTTTGACGAAACTAAGTAGTTGTACTTCGGTGCCTGTGCTTAATTTGTGTTTCGATTATTTACCTTCTAACAAAAATCTGCCCGTGTCTCGCACCCCCAGAAAGGGCATCTCGCACTCCCAAGGGGTGCAATGTGCACCCCCAGTTTAAGAATCGCTGATTTAGCGTCTCGCTCAATACCAAAATGAATCGTCAAACGGGGGTTTTGGGGGGGGGGGGTCGATTAAATTTGAACAATTGTACAGAACCCATTTTTAGGAGTGCAATTTAGACCGGGAAATTTAAAGTAACTTCACTTTATTATATACTGAATTTCTTATCTGCTCGGTGTTGTTTTTATTCAAATAATTAATAAGATATGGGTGATACAAGAAAATTACGTGATGGTGTTTAATTGCATGGTGCCAAATTGAAATGGGTATTTTAGAGAATGTAACTATACAAACCTAGCTTGACATTCTTGGTTCTTTCGGTAAAGTCACGTAGAAGGGAAACAAAATAATAAAAATATAAAACAATAAAATTATCACGGCGTTTCGACTGCAACACAAGCAATCATCATCAGGGGTGAAAACCACAGCAAGAACATTTTGAAAAAAAGTGGCGGTTTTTTTAGCGTTAGCACCACGGAGAGCGATTTGGCAGTTATTCAGATGGACGAGTCCATCTTTGTTCGGAAAAGAGGAGGGGGGAGACGAAAATAATGGATGTGGTCTGAATGCCACCATAAGCGTGAACAATCAATTAAGACCCGAAATGGTTGATCAAATCCTTCCAATGATTGCTAAGCCAGAATCCATCTTCTCGGTTGAACTTGTCTCTGTGTTTGTATATGTGGATAGCCTCATGAACGAATCTCTCATGGTAGCCAGATGGCTTGACATGTTAATATATACACACTGCATGTGTGTACACTGTACGCTATAATGTGAAGTTAATGTAAATGTTACATTTGAATGTGTTAATGTTCACTTTTAGGCGAGATGAATCGTTTTTTGGGTGGTTTGGTTTAAACAAAAAACATGGCTGGGAAGATTGGAATATGTTTACAATTAAAGGCTGGGGCGTTTTTTTAATTCAAACGTGTCCTTTTTGTTTACGGTAGCTACACACACAATGCACTGATTTATGTTGTACATGTGTAGAGGAGTAGAGTGAGCAACCATGAGGGAGCGTACACAGGGAGGTGCGAGCGAGTTGACAGTGGAGAATGACGTCGTGTCACGGGTGCTGTAAGGGGGTACCTTCGGGAAGAAAGGCGGGTCCGAGCTAGGGGGAGGAGCCGCCAAGGGCTACTTAAGGGGGACCCCGTGACGACGGCGTGATCGCCGTAGGGAGAGGAACGAGAACCTCCTTGGACGACATCCGAGCCCCCGCCCAAGAAGGGTTCGAGATGTAGAGGTCTCGCCTCATTGCCGGGCAGTGTTGGATGATCTCCCACCCGGTACAGACGAGGGGGTAGACAAAGTGGAGCCATACCGGGGCGTAGATAGCTGAAGGGATGTCCGCGTAAAGGACAGAGTTCTGACGTGCGCTATAGCGGGTGTAAGCATCGAGTGCAGATAGTGTAACCAACCAGTGAGTCTACAGTGGACAGAGTGTGTAAGAGTGTGAATAAACGGCAAGCAGCCTTAAGGAAGAATCCTCGTCTCTGTCTGGTTCTACAAGTCTCCTGGGTGTCAAGAAGTACTACACAACATTTGGTGTCGGAAGTGGCCGTCAAACCTTCGCAAGAGTAGAGCTGTTTAGTTTCAAGGAAGCTGAAACCCTTCGCTGGTGTCGTGTAAAAGCTGGAAGCGAGGTGCAAGAACCAACCGGTGGAGCGGATGGACGACGAGGGCTGCACCAGAGCTCTCCCCGCGACGACCCCGGAGTCCGGGGCCCCGGTGATGTGCCCCGGGGAGGGGGCGACTGCAGCCTGCGTGGGAGGAGGCTGTGAGCCCCGACTGGCCGCCATTGACGGAGATCTGGGGCGACGTCGCCGGCCGGCTGGGTGTTGGCGAGTCGACGGCGGAGCTGCAGGAGGACGCGACCGCCGTCGGGTCGCTGCGGTGGTTCCCGCCATCCCCGCGGCTCCAGGCGGTTCCCGCCATCCCCGCGGCGGCGGGCATTCCCGCCATTTGCCGCGGCGTTCCTGCATCTCCTCGGCTGTGGCGTTCCCGCCACTCGTTGTCTGCGGCGGTTCGCCCCAACCACTCCTCAGCTGCGGCGGTTCCCGCCATTCCTCGGCTGTGGCGTTCCCACCATTACCGCGGCCGCGGGCATTCCCGCCACTTTTCGGCTGTGGCGGTACCTGCCATTTTCCGCGGCTGCGGCGTCCCCGCCATTTTCCGCGGCTGCGGCGGTTCCCGCCATAACCGCGGCTGCGGGCGTTCCTGCCATTTGGCGCGCGGATGCGACGCAGCAATCGGCCGCCATCTTGCTCTGCAGTAACTGGGCGCCATTGCCGCCGCTGTGCGTCTGCTGCCGCGCGTTCGCTGCAGGCCGCTGCGCATTTTGCGCTGCGCCGGCCTGGCGGAGCGCCGCTGGAGCCCTGCGACTGCGAGCGGGGTGTGCCTCCCTTCCCGCGATTGGAGTGAGAAGAGCGGGGGAGGACCTTGGCTGTGAGAGCGAGAGGAGCCTGCGATCGAAGAGATGGTTCCCGACATCTGGAGTCTGGGGGGCCGCCTGCTTCGTGCTTGTGGGGTGAGCCGGTACGCCGCGGAGCGCACCGCCACTGCGCGAGGGGCCTGCTGCTTCCGGGGGGGAGCAGGCCGGTGCCGTTAGTGTGACAGGCGCAGCGGGACACTGTTTGGAGGGACTTTTTCGACGTTGGCCGTCCGGTCTTGTGTTTTCCTCGCAGACGGTCATTCCCTCCTCGTTTTTTTGCATTTTTGAGTTGTTGGGGGTGTTATATTGTTATGTTGTGGCTATAGGGATGTTAGCTTGGGGGTTCAGTGTTGTTGTGTTGTGGCTATAGGGATGTTAGCTTGGGGATTTAGTGTTATAGTGTGTTGCTGTTTTGTGACGGTTTTGCTGCTTGTCGTAGGGGTCGTCTAGACAGCCGGGACGGCTGATTTTTCTTCACGGGGGGGGGGGGGGGTGATGTAGAGGAGTAGAGTGAGCAACCATGAGGGAGCGTACACAGGGAGGTGCGAGCGAGTTCAGCGGAGAATGACGTCATGTCACAGGTGCTGTCAGGGGGTACCTTCGGGAACAAAGGCGGGTCCGAGCTAGGGGGAGGAGTCGCCAAGGGCTACTTAAGGGGGACCCCGTGACGACAGCGTGGTCGCCGTGGACGACATCCCAGTCATCGCCGAAGAAGGGCTCGAGATGTAGAGGTCTCACCTCGTCGCCGGGCGGTGTTGGATGATCCCCCGCCCGGTGCAGACGAGGGGGTAGACAAAGTGGAGCCGTACCGGCGGCGTAGATAGCTGAAGGGATGTCCGTGTAAAGGACAGAGTTCTAACGTGCACCATAGCGCGTGTAAGCGTCGAGTGCAGAGAGTGTAACCAACCAGTGAGTGTACAATGGACAGAGTGTGTAAGAGTTCGAATAAACGGCAAGCAGCCTGAAGTAAGAATCCTCGTCTCCGTCTGGTTCTACAAGTCTCCTGGGTGTCAAGAAGTACTACACAACACATGCTTTATTGTGTGTTCAGGTTAAAAAGTGTGCAATTCAACTACCACGCTGGCAAGGGCAAAGCCGTTTTTCTCCCAAGTACTCCACTGTGCATACAGCAATCCTCCCAGCAGACGGCGGTGTTTCCTGCCGCGACGATTTATAAAATCACTGCAATGCACGCTCCCTCTTCTGACCAGACTTCTGCCAGTGCCACTGCGGCATTAAGTCGACAATTCGTTGTCGACTCAATGCCGCAGTGGCACTGGCAGAAGTCCTCCAGCGAATGCCGGCGTCGTCTGCCTCGTATTATTAGCCGTCTTGTATTATATAGCTGCTGCGTATTATATGACTGCCTTGTATTATATAGCCGTCTTGGTATTATATAGCTGCTTTGTATTTTTAGCGCTTGTGCAAGGGACGTGCATTGGCGTCTTAAGGCACAGTTGACAAATTGCCGAAAGTGAATATTGGTGCCGCCTCAAGGCATGTTCGACCTCCAGGCTCTGCATCACAGCTGTCTTTAACCATAAGCATTAACGAGGAGTCTTATAGGGTGTATCCTTGTACATGTATCTCCCACTTGCGTTCGTACATCAGTTCTCACTTTTCAAGATCGCTCATTCTAAACAACGCGGAAGTGACTTTTTCACACGGACGGTGGTGCGATGGTTATGATGAATATTTTACATGTGCGCACCTTACCTCAATTGTCTCATGTAGGTTCGAGAAGGTTCCTCAGAATATTCCAAGATGATCACACCTGTGCACAAGGGTATAACTTTGGACAACGCAAGTGCATGAATGTATCTTGACTGAACGCTTTCGTGACTGCAGGAATTCACATTCTTTGGGTCTTTTGGTAAAGTCACGTAGATAGGTAAAAAATAATTTTAAAAAACTACGTATCGATCGCAACACAACCGCAAGGAATATGTATATATGTATGCCTCAGAAAATGTGCAAGTCAACACGACTGATAAATTACCACTTTATTTAAATTATAATTTATTATACATACAAAACATTTAACAAACTTCCTAAAGCTCTTAAAATGGACACAAATTACAGGTAATGTTCATGTTTTTTTAATGGACAAGACAAAATAAATGTTGTATCATTAGAGTATGTAAATGATGTGCATTTCCTGTGCTTAGAAACTGCATATTTAGTACAACATTTTTGATTTAAATTATATTGTATTTTTATGCTCAATATATTTGCTAATTATATACAGCAGGGTCATGATTAAACACATTCTTTTCTCACTGCATTGCTTCGTTTAAATTAATTTCAACCAAGTCGGTTTAATCAATGTCCTAAAACCTAAAACGTCCTAGTCTCTTTGTAATAACAATAAGAGGAAATGGAGAATGAGCGTGAAGCACATTTGCACCATCTCGCCCGTGGGTATTACGAAAGCACATGAAGGCACACAGTTCTGACCACAATCCATAGTTTGGTGTGCGGTCGTGACATGGTTCAGTTTTGCAATACCCCTTTTTTTAGAAATTAACAAACGAGTCACGATGTCATAAGAATTAAAAAAATTGCACCAAATTAATTACACGATTAAATTTTTTACTAAGAATCTAGGTCACTTCGAAGTCAAATTTCTCAACTGCAATTTAAAATGTTTTATAAGCCATAAAAAAATCTCACAAACTGCAGATACGACATTTTTAGGAATGCAAATATTTGTTTCTGGAGCCGAGGCACGGTGGTGCTTAAGGTACCCGTAATAAAGCTGCTCAACTGTAGCTCTCTCCAGACGCCACTCTCAAAGAGACAAATGCCCACCCACAGCATTAAATATGGAATTCTCCCTTTTAAAAAAAGGGTTAAAATATTTAACTCTCTCCAAAAACCTGGTCTACACGTCACACAGCCGTATTAGAATACTCACATGCTTGCACACACACACACGCTTAGCAAAAAAAAACATTCATAAACAAAGGTAGCATTTTGCATAAAAGTATACATAACCTCGAGCTCGTGATCATCAACACTGACGCTTACCTTTGCGGTGCAAAGATACCATGTGAAACTACACAATGCCACATACAGACACTTATCCAATATACTTGTGTATACCAGGCACATAATTCATTTACAAATAAATTGACAGGCAAAAACAATTTCACATTTTTACAATCAATAATGTATGTGTCCCTTCATTTTTAAGTTCTAGAAATATAGATGATGTTAAAAGGCCACCATCATTTTCGTAAGTATAGTCTACTAACCTTTTGTCCGCCCAAGGACGGGTGTATTGCAGTAAATCTGAAACTTGCAACCGAAAAGCAGACCGCGACGTGATATTGCATCAATTCGTGTGCAATTTGTAAGGCCGCAGTGACACAGACTTATTTCATTTAAAGGTTATAATCCCTTGTTCATCACGACGTCCTTTTTACTTTGATGTCTCAACAACAGCGTGACGGAGATCACGTGACGTGAGGGTTCTGCCTTTGTAGTGAGGGTTGTGTGTTGACGCTGAGGAGGGGGGAGGAGGCGCCTCGCCCCCCCAGGTGGAGTGACGTCACCTGCTCATGATTATTAATGAGGGGTGTCCATTTGGATGACGTCACCTGTTCATGATTATTAATGAGGGGGGCTGTTCGATGTGGAGTGACGTCACCTGCTCATGATTATTAATGAGGGGGTGGGGTGATCCATATTGGAATGATGTCACCCGCTCATAATTATTGATGAGGGGGGGGGATCCATGTGGAGGACGTCACCTGTTCATGATTATTAATGAGGGGGGTTGGCCGACGTGGAGTGACGTCACGTGCGAGACACACAGACATTCTTGGCTCATTATAGTAGTAAATTGCTCTGGATTAAGCTCCACAACATAAAACATTGTTCGACACAGATTTCAAATGAATATACTGCATTTTTTATGTATAAGTTTCCCTTGGCAGAGGTAAGGTCACTCAAAGGACTTTCAAGTCTCCTAGACGCCACAACACAAAGACTTCATTATTCTTCCGAAGACCTGGTATGCTGTAACCTGGATAGCTCCCACAATTCCAGATTGAGTTTATTTTGCTCGCATTACAGACCACAGACGTCCTCGTCCACTCACGGGACTAGACCTGAACAGATGATGCATCAATATCACTGCCCACAGAGCCCCGGACGGAGGCTATATCTCCTGCTCGGTGACCAGACAGTAGAAGTCCCTGCGCACACCATAGTTGCGCGACTCCAGGGTTTCGATGTTGAGGTTGGGATCCAGCTCCTCGGGGCCATGGTTGGGCCGTGACACCACCGCCGATGACTGCGTGGATTCAGACAGCGAGAGGATGGCGACGTCAGCCACTCCATCGCCAGCCCGCCCACGCCGGGAATCTGATTCAGGGCAGAGGCACACGAGCGTGTAAGCGTGATCTTGTTTAAAAAGGAGGCATACCAGAACTCAGAGTAGGAGGCATGACACTGTCAATGTTAGGAAAACTTTAAATACATGTTAAAAGCTAAACAAAATGAGTAATTAAATTATCTCCTTTTGTCTATCGTGCATTCTTCTTGAGCTCTCACCCCCTCTATGTGTATGAGGAAAGCCTGCGAAGCCTTGACTATGAGAATTTTGAAGAGGGGTTGGGCCTTCAACAGGAAGACTCAGCCTCCAGCCCCCGTGACCCTACAGGGATGGTGGGTACACAACATTGCCCGGCGTCACCATTCCGCATTATGCAGACCTGTAGAGGGCACGCTACGACACGAGAGAATACACGAGGCATTCATGTTGAACAAAGACCGTGGGCTGCCTTAGATAGCTGGAAGAACAAAAGGGGCAGCGTGCACTGCTCCACCTTGCCATAATCTGCTGATAGATTTCATCATCAACAGCCCGGCTTGGGTGTCGTAAAGTTTACGATGGCTAGGTTGCTTATGAAAGTGCTGTTATAGTCAGTCTAAACTAAACTATTTTTATTTTACCAGGTAAGGCCCACTGAGCTATACGGCTCTTTTTCAGAAGCAACCTGGCCACAAATGACAGCTCAACGAAGTGGCTTATCACGTGGAAATTTCCATCAGCAAAATACTCTAAAAGAATGTTTCTGAATGTGAAAGGAAAAACCAGAGGGCCCGGAGAAACATCCACGCGACCACGGGGAGAACATGGAAACTCCAATTATATAAGTATCGTTCAGGTCGGGATTGAACCCACGAACTCATGTATACCATCTTCTTTGGTTCTTTCGGTAAAGTCACGTAGAATGAGAATAAAATAATAAATTGATAAAATAAAATAACACAATAATATTCTCACGACGTTTCGGCCACAACACAAGCGGCCTTCATCAGGTGAAGGGACGAGACTGTCTGGTAGGACAGCGCTGTGGCCGAAACGTCGTGAGAATATTATTGTGTTATTTTATTTTATCAATTTATTATTTTATTCTCATTCTACGTGACTTTACCGAAAGAACCAAAGAAGATGAATCATTGCAGTCACGAAAGCTTTAAATCGAAATCATGTATACCAGGCGAGGTCGTTAACGGTTGAGACTGAGGCCTGCTAGCACACATATAGGTTGCCATCTGTGCGAAGAATTTGCATGTATAGCGCTTGACTTACTAATAAAAGTAATGCTCATTGGAGGTTGAGGTGCAGTTATAAAAAGGCAGGAATATTTTCACTGCTGTAATAATGCATGTGAAATGCTTAGGAATTAAAACATCCCTATTCTTTTAATATGATCAAAAATCTGGGCAAGCTGGTCCAATTAATGAGCATTCACCATGTGCCAATCGAGATATTTTGGTGGCAGAACACAAAATTACCTGTTCCCCTCAGAAGCCAAATAGCGGATGAGTAATAGTTCAACAAAACTAGGCCATTTGGGCGAAAATATGAAACAGAAAATAGGCAGAAACACTACATTTTTTAGTAAAAAACTTTTCTAAAAGAGCATAATTGTCATATCAATCTGTGCTAACCTTACAATTCTTTTGTAGAAGCTTGAAATCACTTGCGGCAAAAAAATCGACAAGTGGATAATTATATGTGTGCAACACGCGTGTGCACACAGGACAGCACATGCGAGTGCAATAAATATTTTTTTTAAATACAGAACAGACAGTACGCAATGAGACAGAAAATGTCACTCAATTGTATAACGACCACGAACCGTGACATTCCATCATATTGCCGGCGGGGGGTGAATAACTCCATGGCTGGTAACTACCACTGTATAATGCCTCCAGTTATAACATCATAAATGTCGTGTTGTTTTCCCACGTGCAATAGCATAGCTATCAAGTGTGCAGGCAGTGCAATTGCACTACGGTTGGAGGTGCTCAAGCACCGGGTTACAAAGTTAGGCGAAATTTGACGGTGGGCCCCTAACTTGTTATTTGCACCAGGGGCCCATGCCAACCACGTTATACCACTGCCCGTGCGTGTCGCTGTGCCCGTAGCCAGGGTCGTACCTTGCCGCCCGCCACCGTCGAGTCCATCACCGCGGCTGTCCAGGTACTCGGGGTTCAGCATGAGCATGGGGTCGCGGTCGCCCACCGCCTGCACCTGCGGGTCACCCGCGCCACCGCCACCCACCAAGAAGTGACGCATCTCCACAGTCTTGGGCAGCGCAAGGCACAGCTGCTTCCAGAACTTGGATGTTGCAGTCTGGCGAGACCCACACGCACATGCAAAGGAGCATAAACCAGTCATCCTCACAGCGGCTTTTGGCTAGCCATCAAACAAAGACGGTCACTGCATCGCGTGCTTTCAGATGCGCTTCTGCGGCCGTCTGAGACGCTCTTCCTTCCGATATTCGGAAGCCACTTTAAAATCTAGATTTAAAACTAATTTGCTTATAACTGCTTTTTGTGTTTAGTTTGTTGTCCTTCCCCCGCACCTACAATGAGCACGGTTGCCTATGTACGGTGCAAAATAAGTTCAACATATATACACACACACACATGCGCATGATAAATAAATAATGCAGAAAAGCAGTCTCGATATGTGAACATAAAATAGTTTTTATGGCCTTGCAAACCAATGTTTTACAGCAGTATGTTATGAAAAACAAACTTTGGACCGGCTTTAGCTTCTTGAGTCTCATGAGATGCATTAGGTACGTTGAAAAAGTAATCCGTCTTTCCAAATATTATTGGCAAAAGCCATTTTCTTAGCCATGGGCCCCATTCAGCAGAGAACATCAAAACTCTAAAGAGCAAAATTGGAAACAATTTACTTACAATTGTTTTTTGGCTGAATGGGCCTCATGGCAAAAGTCATGACTCTTGCCAGCTATATCCAGCAAAATAACAGTATTTGTTTAAACATACCTGAATAAGAAAGTCGACAGTACATCATTTGCCTGCCTAAATAATCAATAGTCCAGAAGGCCTGTAGCCTGATAAACTAAGACATTTCGATTTCAAGCTTTCGTGACTGCAATGATTCATCTTCTTTGGTTCTTTCGGTAAAGTCACGTAGAATGAGAAACGTCGTGAGAATATTATTGTGTTATTTTATTTTATCAATTTATTACCGAAAGAACCAAAGAAGATGAAAACTAAGACATATTTCATTTTTTATAAGCAAAAAAGTACTTTTGCCTTTTTTAATTTTTATGTTACTCATGATGCTCCATCACAGCATAAATGGGTTCTCTAATTTCACAAAAAATATATCCATACGGCCTACACAAGTATAACTATGCACACATACAAATATACACACACGACACACACTGTACATACAAATACATGTAGACTCACAAAACACAACTTCAGCAGTTTTTTCTTGCTGTAGTTGGCCCACCTGATGACGATTGCTTGTGTTGCGATCGAAACGTCGTGATCTATTATTTTTCTACCTACGTGACTTTACCGAAAGAACCAAAGAGTATTATGACTGGCCTAGCGGTTGCCAATGCAGATGAGCACCAGCAAACTGTTTGTTTGGGCATGGAGGCACGGCTACAAAACTGTAAGCCACTGCAAACTACAGAAAATATTAAATAACGTAGTCATTTGTCAATCCACTGCTGGATGAAGGCCTCCCCCATCTAATGTCCGTCATGTGGGTTGTTTGAAGATATTTCACCATGCTCATCAGTACAGGTTGGTAATAAAGGTGCGGGACCAATTAAGGTCCCGGCATGCCGCCACTGATGTGAGCTGTGGCTGGGAATCAGATGAATGTCACCGAGTTTCCATCACATTGCGCTAACCACTGTGCCACTACTCTAACTCACACACACAGCAACAACAACTGCCATTCACCACTAAGTGGCGGTGACGTCACCACGACGCTTGTGCCAGGCTATGTGCAACCTGAGGCCACGTAAAGTGTCGAACGCCCGCTGGCAGGTCACGGGGCAGACCCAGGTGCCACGGGTCGACTGACTGAGATGACTGGCTGATGCACCACCTGTGCCCCCTACTGTGCCAACCTGCTGTGCTTTAGCCACCCGGCGCTCCGCTCGTTGCTGTGAGCATCGCTCCTCTGCCCTCCGTTGTTGTTGGAGGGCAACTACCTCCAACTGCCCAGTAGCGTCCTTCACGAGCCTCCTCCAGAGGCCGATCTTGACACCGCTGGTACCAGTCATCGGCAAGTCCACTTAGCTCCACGTCCTCCTGTACCACATCGCTCCATCTCTTCTCTAGCCCGTGCCGCGCCCGTTTAGCCCCCTCAATCCGGCCGAACAAAAGCTGTTTCGGCATGCGGTGGCTGGGCATGCGGGCTACATGACCCAGCCATCGCAGCCTTGCCTGCCGGAGGAGCTCACCGATGGGACCTTGCCCAGATCTTTCAAGGATTTGTGAGCTCCTCACACAATCCAGTCTGGTGAAACCCAGGATGGATCGTAGGCAGGCCAGCCTAAATGTTTCTAACCGGCGAAGATGTTCCATTAGGGGGGTCCACGTTTCGCAAGCGTAGAGAAGGGAGGGAATGACCGTGGCCGAGAAGACCTGAAGCTTAGTGCGGAGCGACAGACCAGGTAGCTTCCACACAGCGTTACGCAACCGATGAAAAGATATTGCCGCTCGACTGATTCGGAGTGAGACCTCTGCTGTTAAACTGGAGCCGGTCATAAGCACACTGCCCAGGTATGGGAAACTCTCCACTCGCTCCACAACTGCCCCATCACCGATTGGGAGTTGTGGGGGTGGAGTGTCCGATGGTATAAAATACCCAGGCAGGTGCTTAGTTTTGGTGGGGCTGATGGTAAGGCCCCACCTCTTAGTGGCACGCTCCAGTCTCAGCAGCAGCGTCTCCAACTTCTTCTCTGAATGAGCAGCTATTACCAAATCATCAGCATACATAACGTGGTTGAGCAATAGGGAGCCATCCCTTGACCGCACCCGGGCATCGATCAGCCTCCCATTATATCTGTACCATATGGAGATTCCCCCGGTACAGCTATTGAAGGCTTCACGAACTACGTGGTCAAAATAGATGTGAAATAATGTGGGAGCCAGAGGACATCCCTGTCGCACCCCAAGGTGTACAGGGAATGGCTCTGACTCCCGGCCACGTAGTTTTACCCGGGCCCGCTCACCATCATGAAGGTCCTTAATGATCGTAAGCAGAGGGTCAGGTAGTCCAAAAGCACGAAGAACAACCAACCCAGAGCCCAGGCCTACTGATGGTATCATAGGCCTTGACCAGGTCAATAAAGCAGAGATGTAGGTCTTGTTGGAATTCCCTACACCTCTGCTGTAGCAGACGGACAGAAAATAAGGCATCTGTGCAGGACCGGCCTTTCCTGAAACTGCATTGGGGCTCCGCAAGCCTCTCCTCAGCGTGCCTGGCAAGGCGATGTTGAATAATCCTTGCCAGGACCTTTCCCGGCACACTGAGGAGTGAGATGCCCCTGTAGTTGTTACAGTCTGTGCGGTCCCCCTTCTTAAAAAGGGGGAACACCAGGGCATTCTTCCAATCCTGCGGAACCCGTCCAGTGGTCCAGACTGTTGTTATGATGTCATAGAGAGCAGTCTGTGCACAAACGCCACCCTCCCTCAGCATTTCGCTTGGGAGATCATCTCTGCCCGCTGCACACACTCGTACACACACATGAACATACATACACACATATGTGTATATACATACACACATGTGCGTGTACACAAGCGCACAAGTATAAATCTCACTTTACACACACAGATTTACCATGAGCTGAAATTAGGGCTGAGACTCAATTTGGTATTATACTCAGTGCCCAATATGCCAGAATTGGCAATCTCCACAGGCTACGTGATATCAGCAACGAGATCATTAAATGCCATTCAGATGCCAGCAATGCCAATATAATTCTGGTATTATGATGGCCTTGGAACTTAATATATCTAAATGTGTTTCTCAATATAATAATTATTTAATTTACATAGCGCTTTTCATCAAGGATCTCAAAGCGCTGTAGTGCACAGTCCGGACACAGCAGCAGTAGTAGACACTCAGCATGAAAATTGTATTTTAAATAAATTTTAAGAATCCATTTACTTAATGAACTAAGCGTTTAATAAGCTGAAGCTTATAAATAGGTTTCAAATGCATTTTGAAAATGTCCACAGACTGACAGATACAGGATGCCTATATTGGGGATTACCAACCTAAAGGGAATCACTGTGTATGAATTCCTCATTTAAATAATTAGTAATGCTAATTAAGAATATTTATAGTATCATTATTAATTTCAATAAGCCAATAAAAGTGAGTCACAATCAATCAAATATTTTTTAGCACGTGTTGGCGTTAAGTTCTTGATGCAGTTAAGCATTGCTATCAAGATGTGGTTTACTGTGTGTTGTTGTCAAGGCCACCTGTATTGCTCATCACTACGTGCAGTAAACATGTTTACATTCAGAGTTCCAATCTAGTTTCACGTTCGCTTTGTTGATCCAGGTGAGAACTGAAGATACCAGGAGTGACCTGGATCTCTAAAAATGGCACGTGCAAAACAAATTTAATCAAGTCCAGCAATGAAGCAATCAATATAGCGGGGTGCCAGGGCCTTCAGGGTACACACATTCTCTTTGAATGGCGACAGTGGTTTTAAGGGAGTGCTGTTGTTTTATGTAACAAACCCTGGGCACAAGCATGACACAGCACAACGGCATGGCTGTGATATTCTGTTTCCATACAAATGGGTAAAACCAGCATGCAGTTATCTGCACAGATGCAGTATTTATTAACGATACCGATACAATATGTTCGAGCCCGTGGCTTCTCATGCCTTTCGGTCATGGGGGTTATTTACCAGTATGCCTTCAGATGTCACTCGCCACTGACGTTAGCTGTGGCTGGAAATTGAACTCGGGTTGCTAAGTTCAGAACGCAGTGTGTTCATCGCTGCCACCCGACTCCACCCCCTGTGAGGTGGTTAGTGGGTTCTTCCAGGATGCTGTGTGGTATACATATTGACTGTGTGTACTGACAACGTTCTGTGGCTAAGAACTGGCTGATGTGACAACAATGCCTCTTGTCACATGCCCACAAAAGCATGCATGCACAAAGATATGGCCGAATGATATATGGAATATTGACATTCAGAGGTAATACCTAAGGTTGAATATAATCCAGTGTGCGATCTCATCTATTGGTGGGCATGTGATACTTACAGCCCTCCCCGGGGTAAATTCGAGTGAGATGTTTCTTGCATAGTTGTACTTGTGTGTAATTACCTGTGAGAGCCCTGGGGAGAGCAGGCGTTAACAACCATAAGGAATGCACTGTAGTTAAATTCCACACCTGTACGTGCGTGCGCCTTAACAGATGCTATTTTAGGAGCATGATCTTTGTTGTTGTGTGATTTTGGAGGTTAAGACAGGTTCGGACACCTCTCCGGCAGCCTCAATGACAGAGGACGGCACCGTAAATGATGGCATATTTCGACTGTGTAGAAATGTGAGCCTTAAGGCTCCAGCGGAGGGGGGGGATTGGAACACATGGAGGTGTGTTGTTCTGCCAGCTAAGACGTAATGAGCATTGACAAATTAATCATGGCAATTAACGAATGTGCATCAACAAGTTACCGAGGTACCTTAATAAAGAGCAGCTTTATAGATTTGGATGAGCTTTGATATTTGTGAGACTTTCAGCTAGTCATCATAATTACCGCTGACATAATGAAGACAGTTTAATAACAAAGACGTTTTGCGAAACAAAGTAAAAACAGTATAATTTATGTAAAAAGGATTTTTTTTTATATCATGTTCTCCATGGCTAAATAAAGCCAAGCATGCCTGGGAATATTTTCCCATGGTGACCGAGTTGAATTTGGCACACGAGCAGCATCGACGCGCGTCATTAAAAGCCGATATTCAAATCCTGCAACGCTAAACAAGTTTGGCCATTATTTATGCAAAAAATAAAACAATACGGCCATTCATTTCCAAATGAGTTAGGTGTTAATTAAAGTAAATGTTGGGTAAAAAAAATAAAAAGCTGGTAATGGTGTAGCCCTGCAATTGCTGACTCATACCACTGCTGACAGAAGGACCTCCACGAGAGACAGCCCCTGTAGAGAGTATTTGGCCTACTTTTCCACACTGGGCAGACCGTCCCCTGGAATAATTGAGCTACCCACACTTTACCCCACCACACGCAACAAAATGTATCATGGTTTTAATTACGAGAATAGTCTCTAAAGAGGAAGTGATTATGAATGTGAAGTTTCGTTATCACCCCAAGCATGCCTTAATATTTAAATAGTTGTTCAGCCAAGCTTGAAAGCATGCATTGCTCCACTTAAAAATTACTTTGACGCTGTGAATGTGAAATGTCACAGATTCTGTTATTGCAGAGAGAACACGTTAGTCTTGACTCTACAAAGTTACATCCTGGAATGAAAACTGGAAATACCAGTCAGATTCAGCCTCTTGAGTAAAAAAAAGGTATATTCACAAGGATGAGGTTTTTAACATTTTTTTAAAAGGTGATGCAATGCTGAGGGGGGGGGGGCTGGTGGACTGTTGGAACAGGAATGCAAACGTACATATTTCCTCAAACAATTACTAATAAATAACTAGCTCTCAAACGTAAAGTTACTAAACCACGTCTGAAAACTTATAGTAATTAGATACATTATGATATGGGGTCACGATTGAATTCAACAATAGTTTAAAAAAAAATCAGGAATGCAGTGCCTCGACTGGCTGTCGGGAAACTATAAAATGTATACAAATCTTAAACAATAGATTCTCACCCCGCACGATTCTATGCATCTAACGTGAAGATTAGAATACATTTTCATCGATGAATATACACATCGTCACGAGTCTAAAGCGTTTTACTGACATGGTTTTGTGGAATGTGCTTGTGTGTGTGTACCGCAGTGTTCATGTAAAGTGCAAGGTCCAATGCCTACGTTACAACTGCCCCACGGTTTGCAGGACGTAATCTATTTACAGAAGTACAACCCTCGAGTGGCCGGAGGAGGTCGGCTTCTTCAAACTAAAAATACGTGTAAAAAAACCCCAAAACTTTTCCACGCCGTTTGCTCACACACATTTGGTGATCGTCAACCCCTGCGAGGCCACGCACATAACCTTGACGGCACTGGATGAGGTTACCTTATTGTGAAATGTGGTATTTTGCTTTGAAGGTTAGGGGGAGGGAGGAGGCTTGGTTTTGGAATTCTCATCAGCTGTCTCATCTGATATGGTACAGTGCGCTTTTGTATTCATTACCTACTATAATCACCCAGAAATGTCTGTCCCGTCCCGCGCCTGACGTCACTCCACGTGAGCCCACCCCCCCCGCGTGACGTCACTCCACGAGGCCCACCCCCCTCATTAATATTCATGAGTAGGTGGATTTTTACGCTAACGCAGAAAGTCGCGCTAAATTAAATCATTTATTACGCAAAGTCGCTTCAAATATGACGTTTCTTTACAGAAAGTGACGGTTAAAAAATAAATCTACGCAGTACAGTGCTACATCCGTGCGTGACGTCACTGCAAAAGAGCCCCCCTTAATTAATATTCATGCCCGCGTGGAAATTTACATGAACGAACAAGGTCGCGCACTCCACATGCCGCACCCCTCCCCTCATTAATAATCATGAGCGGGTGACGTCACTCCACATGCCGCACCCCTCCACAATAACCATGAGGGGTGACGTCACTCCACATGCCGCACCCCTCCACAATAACCATTAGCAGGTAATAATCATGAGCTGAGCAATTTTTCTATTGAACATTTCAGATTTACTGCAATATACACCCGTCCTTGGACGGGCAAAAAAGCTAGTTGGTACATAATCTTCTGGTAGAGCATATTTCACAGGCAATGTCTAAAAATAGCCGTGATATCATGCACAGACTATCACAGGTAATTTTAGAGGAATGGCAATCCACCTTTTCTCTTTTGTTGTAATGAAAAACGAGCTGTGCTGTTTTCTGCATGAACAAAAAGCTTTAACAGGTGAAATTATGTCATTTGACCCCAATAGACGAATATTATGTTTTCCTAATGTGCCCCGACTGCTGTTATTATTTCTAATATTGAACAAGTTATAGTACGATCCTGTTTGTTCAAACAAATAATTTTACCCATTCAATCCCAGGGTGCACCATGCACTATTTTTAAGACCCTCTCATTTATGTTCACCCCAAATAAGGGCCCTGATGGCGATGCCTTAGAACCACCGACTTGGTTACATGATAGTGTACAGCTACAACATTCCACCCTATTGCTACTCTGCCAAAGCCAAAGGAATGCTTGCTGCTCACCCTACGAGTTCTGTGAGATAGTAATGGTTAAACAAAACTTCCTTGTAAAAAAAATGCATAAATCTATTTCATGAAATAAATATTTTATGCCAATAAAAAGTATTCTATGCTTTTCAAACCAGCCACACTTTCCTGTCTGTAACTGGACTGAACATTAAAGTCCATAAAAGTTCCAAGTTTTAATTGAACAATGCCAATTGTGATGTTGACTCTGAACAAAGCAAGAGAACGTTGTAAATACATAACCTTATTACAAATGCAGTATCTGCAGGCATCGTCAATAACTGCATCATGGACACGAAGTACAATGACACCCACAGCTATTGCCGACCACAAGTGTCAATGTTAATGTAACTGACAGATACTTGTCCAGCATAACTGGTAGAGCAGTAGGCCCAGAAAGTAGGCCCAGAAAGGAATTGTCTCAAGAAATCTGGTTTATAATATTCCCTCTCGACTGTGCTCACAGGGTCTGTGTCTCACCACTGAGAGACCGCTCATAGCAAGTGGGAACGGGTTAAGGGAATAGCGGGACCAGGGACCGCCACAGTGACAGCGAGTGGGGGGGAGAGGCATAGTATTCGTTTTGGGAACCCCTGTTTCAATATATGAAATCCTGGTGAGACAACAAACGTTGAGAAAAATACAATTGTAGCGAGATGAGAGATAAGACAATTGATCTCTCTTCTTTATTAGGATCTGAATATGAGCCGATATTTGACGCCCCTCTTTCTGTCATGAATCTGAGGCTCCTTGCTATACTTGGGGTGCCCCTAAGCCGTCGCTCGGTTTGCCTGCGCCTAGCGCTGCCACTGACCGCAGAGGTGGAGCCCCATGGCAAGATGACGGGGTGTGGGCGGGCGAGGTGCAAGAGCTGTAGGGCCGGGTGAGGGGCTGCACGGCGGCCATCGTCGAACGTGATGAACACGGGCCGTGGCGTCAGCTCCTGCAGGCGAAGCAGGCCCTCCCTTGCAGACGCCGGGATCGTGACCACGTGGCAAACAAGAGAAAGAAAGGTCGGCATTGCATTGGGAGGAAAACATGTGGTAGATGCAGGGCCGGATTAACCCATAGGCTCATGTTTTGCAGGCCCTCTGTTAGGCCCTCCATTCGATAATGCAGTAAGAGATGAGCAATGGTAGCGCAGCCATCGGAAGTATTTTTGTCTTTGAATTACAATGACATCATGACTTTGCCACAGCTGAAGCTCGGGAATTGTTTTGTTTGTTTGCAGATATGAGTGTAGCGAGTGATTTATGTTTTACGGCTCTACCTGGAGTCAAATACATTATGTTGATGAGTTGTTATATTTTTTTGCAATATGTATTACATGTATTCCCCCTCATATTAGCCTTAGGCACCTAATAACCTTAATCCGGCCCTGGGTAGATTCATTTACACAGATGTTTTTTTTTACAGTTGCCAAGTACAGGCCTGAAGGTGTATCATACAAAGCAGACAGTCAGTAAGAGACGGTTATTGTACAGGATAGCAGAAAACAACAATGAAACAAATTTATTTTAATTGAGTGAGGTCATAGAAATATGGGAATAAAGATAGTGGGAGGGCATTCCAAATCAAGCAGTGCAAGGAAGGAGAACTGTCCCACACCATGGTAGGTTGCAAATGAGGGCCAGATGGATACATAATTAAATAAACATAGCCTTGGCCATTTGCCCAATTGTTGGTGATTGAAACACTAGTATATTTTTGCCATACATTGTTCTAAACACTGGCCAGTGCATTAATCTAGCTACTTTGTGTGTGAAGTAAAAGTTGGGGGTTCGTAGAAAGTGCACCACTATTTTTTTGGAAAGACTGGCCCCTGCTATGGAAATGTGATGTTTTTTCTACCTACGTGACTTGACCGAAAGAACCAAAGAGTATTATGTCTGGCTTAGCGGTTGCCAATGCAGATGAGCACCAGCAAACTGTTTGTTTGGGCATGGAGGCATGGCTACAAAACTGTAAGCCACTGCAAACTACAGAAAATAACATAGGACAAGCCTGCTGATGCACAATACTGCCAAGGAATGGAATGTGTTTCAGAGTATGTCCACTTAGAAAATAGAATAGTGGAAATCCACCTTTGTGGTAGCGCTAGGTGGATTGTTAAATCACAGAGCCATGGGAGATAGCAATGACTTGCGAAGGAATTCATCCAAGAGTAGATTGAGCACGGTTGACGACGATTATGATGTCACAATATGTTGGTAGCTTCTCCAATTTTAATCAACAGTATGAAACTCATACTCCTTCGGATGACCAAAAGGATTGCTTTGATTTTCATGTCAATGCTTGGGTACCGGAAAGCCTCAGAGCACCATTCCTGGGCCAGGTACGCGCCAGACAGCACCACGATCAGGCGGCGACAGCGGCTGAGGTTCATGAGCAGCTCGGGCGACGGCTCTGCCATCGTGCGGGACGCGTGAACATGAAGACACGTGCACATGAAGATACAAACACGGAAAGATCGTCACGCTTCGTGTCACGTCGAAGAGCCCGTACATCATTAGCACATGTCTGGAAAAGTTAAAAAGCAGTTGTATGACCAACGAGTATGTATGGATCCTTGCAGTCACGAAAGTTTTAAATCTAGAATTGAGTATGTATGTATATATGCATGTTGAACTTCTTCCACACCGTGCATAACCAACCATGATAATCGGAGTACGGTACTTGCACAACTGGCAAAGATAAATCTAAGTTTAAGCATCCACAATGACAGTGATCCAGAATCCATAGGACTGCCACTGTGGCAGGAGAATATGTAATGTTGCAAAGTCAAAAAGACATATTTTGAATATGAAATAAGACAAGCTACCATTCACAGGTATAGCCATATACATAAAGCCACACATGCATATGACAGCAATCATAATATTACAGTACTTTGCCAATCAACTGCTAGTAGAAAGAATCCCCACGCCGTGTTGATCATAGAGGTTGTTTGAACAAATTGTCGTCAGGGCGGATTGGTAAAGGGGGATTCATATCACTCGCTAATTACATAGATAAGAGCGCTCACCACTGCGCCACTGGTTCAGCCCAATATCACAATACACCCACAAAAATCAGCAAAACACCCACCCATATTGAGATGCGTCAAGGTCAATTTAAATTGCTCGAAAGAATTGAACCTTATTTATTTTCGTCCTTTTGTTTGTTTACACTCATTACAAATTCGACAGTCGCGACAACAGTGCATGACGCTCATCCACGTGGCAGGCTGCCACACGCAGCATTGGACAAACAGGGACATGTGAACGCCCGCTTTCAGCTTGCGCACACACGCGGATTCACGCGCACATGCAAGTAATCCCACAGGACTAAAGGCTGCGAGTGAGCAGGGGGACAGGTGCTTGTGATAAACTCACAGTGTACTTTGCCCTAACAGAGCCTTTGAGAAAAACAAAACACATCCTTTACAGACCGATGTGAAGCGTAATATGCAGTGCTTGGCAACCGGTGCCAATAAGGGCCGGTGATGGCATGAGCATTAACAGAGGGTCTTTTATTCATTTAAGCTTTGTGCCGAGCTGCTTAATTATTCAGCACGAGTCCTCCATGCCGGGAGAGAATGGAACGGTAAATGGAAACTGGCATGGACTTTCCACGTGAAGAGCAAAAACGATGAGAGCATCGTATCCCCGTGGAATCCCTACCATCCGGCGCACAAGCGCATTTCTAAGCCACCAGTGCTCTTGACGTAACAAATGCCGCATAATCTTACAGTAAAAGGTTCATTTGTTCAAGATGTGCATCCGAAAAAAGAAAAAGATTTTAGAGTGTGGTTCTATAACAATCACGACCGCCAGACGAAATGCTGACCTTCATTACTTTCCTGCTGTATCAGAATCAGAATATTTATCTACACTGGAGGAATCCGATGAGCTATAAAGTTATTTTTCACCGATGTACAGTTGAATAACGCTGATATGTTAAGTTCACAAAAAAATTAATGCGTTAAGCCTCCAGTAAAGGAGCATTAAAAAACAAAGCATTGATAATTATAGAAGAATATGCCGCTACCTTCAGCTGCCCGCTTATCTTGGCCAAACGAAGTAAGCGGAACTGACAGAATTGAATTAAAAGGAGCGGTGCGATATTGAATTATAACATGAGGGCGGTTTCCTGAGTAATCTCATAAAGCCCTCTTACTTTAACTCCTCTAAACGAGTCACAACCAAGGACAAATATCTTCCCACAGTGCACGCACACAGACAATTATTTCCCACGTAGCCACACAAACTGTCGGAGCAAAAGCTGTTAGCGATGACATATTAAGCCAAACCCAATGTGGTCGGCACCTTTGTCATCAAGTGCTCATATTAAATCTTAGTCTACTTTGGAAAGGCCGAACGTAGGTTTAGACACCACTTGCCACCGACGATGTTTGTGGCCCGGGAATCAAGCTTAGGTCAACAGCATCACAGCATGATGCATGTATATCTGCGACCCTTCTCTCTCCACTCCAAAGACAAAGATCTCCCGTATAGGCTGGCACCGGCACACGAGGGGGTGGGTGGCCAGCACTTCGCCAGGGCCACCTTTGTCTCTCTAGTGTGGCGATGTATACACACCGCACCAGGTTCCTAGTTGAGGCCGAATCGACCAAGGGGAGGCCCGGAACCGGTTCAGATAATGGTCACTTGTGGTGACACCGCTCTCCACTCCACACACACACACACCAAGCGATGTAAGTTTTATTTTGCGAACATAAAGGTTGAATATGATGCCTGCACCTACGTGTGTTTCTGCGCTCGTATTGAGATTCACGTCCTATACAGGTATATTTCTGTGGCATGTTGCAAATCCTGTTCAGTACAATACAGTAGCCACACAGTAAAGTAGCCATAAACAGTTGCGATGGGGACGCAGCATTGCTGGCATGCTAAGAACTCCTTAACGGACTGCAGCACTAAATTGCTTTCAAATAAATAACTAAGCATGTTTCACAGATGTACAACTTCAATACACCAAATCCTCATCATGTCAACTCTGTGTACAATCAGCTGCTGCTGACAAAATTGAACTCATTCACACAGGTCATCATCATGTTGTGTCCATCATACCACTTGTTAGATCAATGACTGGTACAGGTGCCTTGACTTTATAAGTCTACATCCCCTGCGTTAGTTATCTTCCCTCGCGTACCCCTTTATCGTCACCATGACCTCCGTCACGTGTGTGTGTGTGTATGTATGTTCCACTTCTTTTGCACCGTACATAGCCAACCGCACCAATCCGGAGGTGCGGGGAAGGACAAGTCAGAATCTATTTTACGCCAACAACATTCGTTTCCGGTTACAGCAACACCTCCAGCTATATACTAAGGGTTTGCGTAATGGCACTCACATGGCTCGTGACGGCAGCGTGGTTGTTCAAGCCTCTATCCCCCTGCCCCTTCTCAAGTGCATACCATGCATAATGACTGTGGGTGTGCCTGCCAATTCTCCGATAAGTCAGGCAATGTTATTGCCACCACTACACAGCAGGAGACCGATGTTAAGCCCCAGCGATGGAAAGGCCCCAGAATAAGACGCTACAGAACTACTGGCGAAGTAATTTGGATAGGACTCATTTGCGCAACACGACACGGCTCCTTTTAATAATTAATGGAATGCTCTATCTTTTGCACGTCAATCGTTTCACGTGTTTATACATTTTAGCCCCAATCATAGCTTTTGCTAATTTAAATGAAATAAAAGTACACAAATTATTTTTGTACTGACCTTGGTAGGGGTGATCAGGCTGAGAATATCAAACACTCTACATTTGAAAATGTAGTTTATTCATGCAAACGCTGATCAGATTCAAACAATGGATGGAAGCCAGCAGCGTCGGCTTAGTACTTGGGAAATATAAACTTAGCAACAGCCCATGTCCACATTCCAGCCACTAAGGCAAGGTCGCATTGTGCAATAGTAGGGCATGCACAAGCTCCTCCAATACATGTGCATATATTAACAGGTACACAGCTGCTCGAGTGGAGAACATACCCAAGCCTGGCAGGATGTCCTTGTCATCCGTGTGCAGGCGGTAACCATAGCGCATCTCCAGGTGAGGCCGCAGAGTGAAGTGCACAAACTTGCGGTCGAACTCGGTGTTGACATAGGAGACGTACGCGTCGTACAGCTTGCCGTCTGCGGGGACGAGCGCGCGGGCAAGGGACACCGAGCGCAAGCACACGTCATCGCACGGGAGGGGGAGGGGGTGTCAGGTTTCCCCTGTTAATGCTGGGAATGCTCAGTGACAATAACAGCAATTAACTTTTGTTTTAACCCTCTGTCGTTTTTTTTAATGCTTAACCGAGAGCCAGCAGCATTGCTCGGAATCAAAATCACCTTGCCAGAGATAGATCACAGCGTAGAGGTCGAACCACTCACTATGTCACCGTTAATACAAATGCACATCTGCACATTTACGCGTTAGATTTCAGGATAAGGAAGTGTATAGATGCACGCACGATGACAAACACTCCCTGTGCAGCCATTAACAACTGTTGGGATAGCAAGCACCTATTTTGGCTAGGAAGGCACATGAGGGGCTAGTGTGATCAACAACATGCCTGGCGACCTTTGTTCCCTCACTGCTAATGTTTACACCCTATAACACTTGCCACTGATGTTATCTTAATGGTCAGGAATCAAACAGGGCTGCCGGTATCTTAGTGTTGTGCCCTAACCACTGCACCACTTCTCCCCATATAGTGTCGCTGCCACGCACACAAAAATATAAGCTACATCCAATAGGCCAGGAAGCAACCATTTAATATTTAATCAAAAACAATGGTTGTTGGTGTGAAATAAGTAAAGTTTCAAAGTACCAATGTTTCTACCGGATCAATGACCACTGTTGTTTACGGTGACCAAAAGTTGCCCCAATCTCTATTGCTCTTCTGCCACTCATTATGCACGACCCCAAAGCTATAAAGATCTCCCGTATAGCCTTTAACAGACTGTAGGGGCAAGTGCTGTTAGCGAACACCTACGAAAGGTGGCATGGCACACGAGGGGGTGGGTGGCCTGCACAATAGCCGCCCACCTTTGTCTCTCCAATGATGATGTTTAACACTTCACCAGGTACTCTTTTAAGGCTGAGATGACTTAGAGAAGGCCCAAAACCGATTCAGATAATCGTCGCCGATGCCGTGAGCGGGAATGAACTCGGTCGACGCATTCATAGCGCAGTGTGCTGTCCCGCACACATGCACACGAGCGCGCACCGTTGGTCTCGAAGTCGCCGTAAGTGTTGCGGTGCCACAGCTGCAGGTCCAGTTTGAAGCGCGAGTAGAGCGTGACGGACAGTGCCAGCAGCAGCAACAGCACCAGGGCGGCCACAGCGCTCACCACGTGGCTCGGAGCAAGGCCCTTATCTGCACACACAGCACCGCCAAATGATCGACCCAGAGGCTAAAACACAAACCAAAGATGGCGAGTTAATGGGCTCTAACCTGCTTCGGCAAATGCGCAAAATCACAAAAATTTTGCACTTTGGTTTTAACTTCAATTTTTTGAAACATGCGTTTTAGAGTATTTGGATGGCATACATTTTCACGTGATAAGCCACTTTCGTTGAACTATAATTTGTGGCCAGATCGCTTCTGAAAAGGAGCTAATGGCTCAGTGGGCCTACATGATAAAATAAAAATAGTTTTAACTATCTTACTTCTAAGGCACACAATTACATAGCCATTCTAATTATGGAAATGTGCTGAACTACGTGAATTTAATTACTATGTTTCTGGTGTTGGGTAAGACAAGCCTTTTGAAGAGACCTCAGCATTAGTTGTGGAAGGTGATATACCTGACATTATGCGATGCCCCATAGACTAAAAGAGTTAAGAATTTTTTAAAAAAATCTCATAATTTACAGCAGATCCATCAATTAAATGTTTTGTATGTGCCATTATCACCATCAACAAAGTAGGCATCAGTGCACATTACAGCAGAATGGGAACGGTACAGGAGCATGGATAGATTTTGATGGGAATTCTGATGCCAAAATGCTTGATCGTTTTCAAGTCAGGGTAAACCCTCATGGATTGGCTGTAGTTGTTTTGGCTGGACTTTTTTTATACCTCTATTCACCGTAGTATCATAACCCACCTTCCATCGCCACGACGAAGCTTGCACTGATATTTCCAGCCGTAGTGTGGAAATGGCATCCAAACGCCCCAAAGTTTGAAGATTCCATAGTGCTCACAGACAAGCGACTTGTGATGACCACAGCTGAGAGCTCATCTGAAAACCTGTCGCATGGACAGACACACACACATTTAAAATCAACTATAGGCCTACCAGACGTGGCTCAGTGGCTCAAGGCACAAATGACAACACCTGAGGAAGAACCACTGAGAAATGAGGTCTGAAATCAGCACAACCACCTGTTGTCATTAAGCCATATCCAAAGTTTCAGAGCGATATAGTGGTTCTTGGCCAGGAGATGAATTTTTACTTAAATTGGCATAACTCAGCTGTGTTTGAAATTTAATGTGCAGTTAATTAAATGGATACAATGCGGCAAAACATTATTGACATGGCATGACTAAGAATTATGAATACATCTTGGAACTTTAATGATTAACACTGCCTTATAACATAAATTTATAAAGGAGGCAAACATTTTGGGCCACAGCTGATTGAAGTAGGCTTGATTAGCTAAAAGTGGTAGATCACACTTTTAAGCGCGGTGCCTTGAACACTGGGAAATTGAACAGCTGGCCCCCAATTGTTGTATTATGTAAGCCATTTGACTGCAGATTTATTTCTGTGGTAGTTTTCCAATGCCATACCTTGTCTTAACACAATGCTCTTCAGAACATATACATGATCTATTTAAAAGGACCATCACCTGGCGTCTTGGACGGTTATGTTGTAAACAGACGAATTTGAAGCCAGCGCAATGCCGTCCTTGCGCCAAACCACCGAGGTTGGACACGTGACATCGCTCCTGTTGGTGCCGATCTCCACGGTGCAGTTGAGAGACAGAGATGCGCCGATCGGCATGTTGTGCCGCTCCGGCCCAGGTGGGGAAAGCAGCGAAGGGGAGGTCATGCACGGAGCCGCTGTCAATTCTGTGGGTGGACATTTCAGTTTGAATACATTAACTTTGAATCGCTTTGATTTGCATTACTCAGCTTTGGTTTATTCAACTGCACACCAGCAGGCTCAAAGTGTGCCTTCGCAATATCGTATATATTGATGAAAAATCCAACTAATTTGCATTGTTTGATGGTGCATTGTGTCGAAGGTATTGCAATGTGTATAAATGGTAAATACATATATATATTAGTCATGTGCTCCCAGTTTTCAGATTAATCCCCCAGTAAAAATTCTAGATACGAAATTTCAGACGATCTGTAAAGAATATTGTTACCGATTATTTTTCAAAGGGAAGCGAGATCAATGACATGATGCCGCTTTCCTGCAAAAAATGTTGCCGCGTAGCACTGAATGATGTAAATGTTGTGAGCTTCATGACACAGAGTAAAACAAGGTATAAATTATCTGAAAAAGATGCGAAATTTCTCTTAAACATCCCATTTTTCCATCAGAAATGAATCTCTAATATGAAGGGTCAATGAAGCAAAGCATCTTTAAAAAGCACGGGAACAAAAGCAGTTTTCGTTATGGATTATTGTGCATCCCTGTGTGGTTAGCAACTTATCAGTTTCATGCTGTTACATAAATCCTGCTTCACGTGCAATAGCACTGTACTGCTCCCACACACCTGACAGAAGAGGCTTGTTTGTTGCTAAACTTGACATTCAATATATTTTCCATGTTCTTTTCTATCCTCCTACCAACATCCCAATCTGACATATGCATTTCCACGAAGTATTTATTGCTGGGTTTAGCAAACAAACATAAAAACGAATTGAAAATGGAATTGCATAAACAGAGACAATATATATAAATCTATTCAGAATATGAAAGCACTTAAAACCCATATACGATGCAAAAAGGGGGGAATAATAAAATGTAACAGCTTAATAGTCTGTGTTTTAGAGTGCACGCCTCGCTGTAAAAGGCCCGGTGAATGTGAAATTGCTAAGAGAAAAACCTATGTGATGATGCGCGCCTTTACCATTCGCCTATTTTTTCTGTTACTGCACAAGTGCTGCGTGCTTGTTGAACACGTGCATTGTCACAAGGTGGTGAAGTAACACAAATTCTATGGGCATTGGTAAATGCATTCAATTCAAGGTTTAGCTGTCGAACCGATTCCAACCAACGATGAAATCAAGCATTGACGTATTAGCTCTATCCCTCTGTCTCTTTGTAATGAGTCGGGGGGGGGGCAGCATCAACACAACGCTCATAAAGATAAATACATTCACAATATTTTAGTAAATGTTCGCTTCATTAAATTATGTTACCTTATGAAATTTGACCAAAGGGTTGCCCAAAACTTGGTGATAAAACCAGTGCTAAAAGGCTAATTAAATAACATAGCACACGACATCGCGAGATGACGTCACCAATTATACAATTGCCTCGATTCCCCTCCCGATGGGGTCATGCATCATGTGACATCAACTCGTGAAGTTTGGAACGTAACATTATCACCTTCCTGGTGTGTTTTAATTTTCCACTTTGACCCCATGGCAGGACTATTTAGCAAGATGCCCACTTTACAAAGTAGACCGATGTTATGCTTACTTTTGTTACTTCCACCTCGAATACTGGGAGCCCACAAAGAAAGCAAAAGTAGATTAGAAATGCAATAGTCAAGAGCTGCATATAAATTACCTTTAATTCAACATGCACCTGTTTAGCAAACGTGGCGCATACATTAGCTTCTGACCAAGATTAATATTCAAAATGTCAAACATATTTACAAGGCAAAGAAGCACTAATGTTGAAGGCAACTTCCTTTGATGAAAAAAAGTGTTCTTAAATATATCTAGCAGATTAAGCAACTCGTGGCATTTGCTAGCCAGTGCCTGTTAAACCAGCTCACATGCACATTCTTATTAATCTATTATTTAATTTAAAACATTTTTTTCAAAACAGCGCAAACATCACTGTGCTGTAAACCTCTGGAATGACTGCTTGAAGGAGGTGGGACCATGTGATTTGAAGACAATGCTCCATTCGTGAGCTACACCATGTGCTCTCTGATTTGCAATGAAGTTCAGTACTGGTTGTACCCATTGTTGATGTGTTTGAATTGGCCCTGAATAATGGAGACGTGCTCTTATGTGCCTGTAATAATAATTTCAAGTGAGATGGAAAAATTAACGACAGAGCGGATACTGAGAAATGGTAAAAGAAACAGAGGAAGACAGCGGAACAGATGGAGACACAAAACTAAAGAAAGGCATGAAAGAATATAGGGAAAGGCCTCTGCCCACCATATAATCCCATATTACGTGAGACACGAATACTTATTCATATTCAAATACTGTTTTCAGAGATGCTATATAGCTCATTGACTGATGGCAAACCTCTGCAGGGATTAAAATGTCAAATTAATTTGGGCTATGGTACTTTACAAACAGGACCTTCCTCTTCATAAATCACCGTAGAACTAAACGACTCAATGCCCAATTCACAAATATTAAGGGGGTATCACCATGATGCACTCCTGATGCAATTATCGGGTTCAACCGCCTCAATCACAAATTATAGTTGCTCATCTAAAATCAACATCAGCCATCCGAAAAAAAATACATTGTTGATAGGAGGCATAGGTGGGAGTTATATACATACATAAGTCAAGCCTTGTTTGTATGTACTTAGAATTTTTTTTTCACACCGTACGTAGCCGACCATGCTAATCGGAGGTGCAGGGGAAGGATAATATAACTATTGTAAACACAAAAAGCAGTTATAAAGAAATTCGTTTTCAATCTAGCAGCAACCATGCTAAACACTGGACCATCGGACGCACACACAGATAGGTATCCGTATTTACTTGTACATCACAGTAGGACATTCATCACATCATTCTTTTCAATTTCCTACATTTGTCACAGGGCGAGAACTCTGATCGATAGTGGAGATTGGAGCGAGTTGGGAGAAGAAGTGTGTGTCTTCGTGAATGACATGGATTTGAGCCACACGGGTGGCTGGCTGAGTCAGGACATGGATTTGAGACGTGAGAATTGGAATTGAACACAAAGCAACACCACAGCATTCACTTCAGCATCATTATGAGACCTCCTTTGCCAGTAACAAGATATAGTAATAGGTTTTTACCCTTTTAGCTGGCACAAAAACCGACACCTTTATACAATTCAAGGACAGTGCATATCATTATCAGAGTTGTTTCTTTTTGTTTGCATTTTTGACTGCTTGTGTTGTGGTTATTGCAAACATGATCCCTTGTATAAAGGTGTCAGTTTTTGTGCCAGCTAAAAGGGTAAAAACCTATTACTTCATCATCATTGCCAGGGCGACGGCTTGAACAGGCGGTGCAAAAAAAAACACAACGCATTTAAAAACGTTAGAACCAGTGAAGGGAAAAAACGATGCAATGTAACGATGCACCCATTAAAATAAATCTTTGTGCTCGTAGAAGACGCTTTGTAATAACGCGTGTGAGAAATATCAGCAATTTATGCTCATGATCATTATAAATGTTATGTTAATTAAGTGGACAGTTGTTCAACATATTACAAATAGTAGAAGACCATCCAAACGGGACTAAAAATAATTGATATTGACTTGAACCTAGACCTTCAGCATTAACAATTAACAAAATTGTAGGGGTGGATGGTAATTTATATCATTAGATAGCACTGCCCATGAGCCAATTTCATAAACGTCTATCATATAAGGCCTGTCACCATGTAAACATAATAAAGCGAGCAGCCGTGGTATTAAATTAAAACTTCTTCGACTTGTGAAATCAAACGTTGAGTTAATTTAGTACTATAACAAGTGGAAAGTGATAATAAAAAACGAATAGCAAAGGGAAAATAAGTTGCCTGCAATGTTAGTGACCAAACACACACACACACGGGGTTTTTCACAGCCTATGAGACCACACAGAATTCATAATAAAGCGTATTCACTGCCTAACATTTAAGTGTGGTTGGTGTCTCTCCTATAGTCATATCGAATTGTTAGCAATTAAATTGGTAGTTACATGGCCATAAAGATGTAACTGATTTTACACGTTAAGCTAGGCAACACAAGATGAAGTTGCTTTGTTGCCATACAACCGTGGATATCTTGACATATGTTATGTAACAATTTGAAATCTATAAATAGGATAGAGAGCTAAATAATGGTTGATACTGCTTTTTACCAATTCATTACCAACTTCATTCTGATGCATTCTTAAGTTTCGAATTTTGATCTTCCAAAATTATTTAAAAACTGACCAAAACGGTAATTGTGCACTAAAGGTGGCATGCAGATTCATTATTTGAGCGAGTGCGTAGTGCCGGGCCATGCGATAGCCTCCTCGGTGGTTCTTGTAGTCAATGTGCAAAATTGTTTGTACAGAGCAAAAGCTGCAGTTTGGGATGTCATGAAGACCCCAACGGTGGAGATTGGCTGCACGAAGACCTTGCCCTGACCAGAACCTGTTCAGCATAGCCCACTGACAGCGTGTGACAGGTTGAAGCCGGGTGGACAGATAACACAGCTCAAAAGGGGTTGCGTGTACTCTACTTTAGAAGGAATAGTAAATCTTAGGGTTAGTTACTAAGCCCTTTTTTGTGTTAAATTTAGGTGGCCGAGGACACTCTGCATGCACTTTTGTGAATCAAAGAAAGACAAAATGTCGTGTCAGCCCAATTGGCCAAATTCTTTGAGCATGGCTAATTAAAAATGAGCTACCAATTATTAGGAATTGTCTATCTTGATGGTGCAATGAGGACTGTGTTGTTAGTCAAATGTAAAATAAAAGATATCCATGTTTGTCTTTCAACAAATTGTATATTTGCTCGATAAAAAATAAAACCCAGCAGCCAAGGGTCTGTTCAAAAAAGTGCCGTTGCCTGATGGGTGGGCCCAATGTGATTTCACAACAGATCAGGTGACTCCTGCAGGATGATGAATGAGAAGAAAGCAATACATAGCTAAGGAAGTTCAACTCAAAGTCATCACTCTTATAATTTTACTCCGGATATGCATGGTCACACAGTACCAATTTTTTTTTAATCACAACTGTGCAGTCAATATTTTCAGAGAGTGATTGGAGGGGTGAGACTATTAAACACCAAGTCAATGGCTATGTCGAGGCAAAGTGCTACATTTGTAGAAAATGAAACCAGAAACAACATAAAAACGCAATCGCATTTTTCTTTAAGAGTCCTGGTGAGTAAACCAACCTTTCATGGCGAGGTTGGCAAGCCAGTGGGAGGACTCAGGAGTAGCCGGGTCGAATATCTCGACATGAACATATAAATGTTGTCGATCAAACCCCTCCCCCCCCCCGCCACCCCCTGACGTACAAAAGAAAAAGGAGGAACGCACCCTTCACGGCGAGGATGATGGTGTGGCTCGAGTTGCTCAGGTTTCCACTGCCGCGGCACGTATAGTTCCCCGAGTCGGCCAGAGCAACGACCACAAAGTGCAGGCCCACGTCGATGCCGTGCACGTGGCCCTCCACGGACAGGTTGAGTGGCTGGCAGTCCTTGAGCCAGACCACCGGGCACTGGGCGCTGGAGCAGTTGCCGTTAATGGTGCAGTTCAGTGTCACGTTCTCCTGCCCGGCCAACAGGTCTTCCTTGCTCGTAGGCTCATCATCGGCCAGGCAGGAAGCAGAGTCTGCAGAGCCGACCAAGAGACAATTGTGCGAGAGACACCACAGCACGCGCTAGTTCTGCGAGATATGTGCACTGTTGAATCATACTTACGTATCATACTGTTTCAGTCTCCCAACCCGGGTGAGTAATGTGTAAAAAATATCCACAATAGAGTTTTTTTTTGGGTTAGATCGCGTAAATATATAAATGTGTCGTTAAAACCCGCCACCACCCGACACAGTAAGAGTTGTCACGTTAACAGAACGTGGCCAATTCGTCACCAGTACAGCACACCGGTGTGTTGGAGAGCCAAGCCACAACATTTACAATCTGAGTTCGACGTTTCGCCAGTAATTACAACTAGCTTCATCAGGCGATAGCCAGATTTGTGGAGAAGTCCACCTGTTTCGTTCCTTGTATAGAGGCGTAGATGTGGTGACCACACTTCTGTGCTCTTGTGCAAAATGGGGGGGGGGAGAGAGGATTAATGAGCCAACGTACATAATGCACGTGCATTATGCGAGCCCTTTGATGTTGTCCTTCCTGTTCACTGTGTGTATTAAAATAGCCGTGCCAACGGTAATCCCTATTGAAGTATGGCGCCCCTCGTAGGCATGCATTTAAACAATGTATTATTTCATGATTCGCTTCCACGCAGCACTAAGACGTGGAAGCGAATCTTTCAATTTTGATAGATTCTCTAATTAGTCTTGGCCAGCAGTAGCTAGTTTTGCACAGAATTTCAACATTATCAAAATCAATTGAGTGTCCTTGTTGGCACGTGTGTTCTGCTACTGATGACAGATGTATTTGAAAGTATTGAATATTTATCTGATGTTCTTTTAGTCTCGTGCTGATCATTCGTCCTATTTGCCCAACATAACATTTGCCACACGTGCAGTTAATCCTGTACACACCTTCTATTAATAGCTTCAGTAATACATCTTTTGTACCAGATATTAATTTCTGTATTATATGTACCTTGTCAAATCCCCAACCCCCCCTCCCACTTTGCACAAGAGCACAGAAGTGTGGTCACCACATCTGCGCCTCTATATAAGGAAAGAAACAGGTGGACTTCTCCACAAATCTGGCTGTTGCCTGAAGAAGCTGGTTGTAATTACTGGCAAAACGTCCCACTCAGAGTGTAAATGTTGTGGCTTTGCTCTCCAACACACCGGTGTGCTGTACTCGTGACGAATTGGCATGTTCTATTTACGTGACAACCCTCACTAGTTGGCTGTGTCGGGTGGTGGCGGGTGTTAACGACACATATTTATGCAATCTAACCCAAAAAAATATCTGTTATGGATATTGGTGGCGAAAGCCTACGTGTTAAAATGTAAAAATTATGTTGTCTGCAAGTTCAAAAACCAAGAAATCATTAAATGCTCCAGCAAAACCTAAATAAATTCAACATACGCATGGGATATTAAAACGTGTTCATTGGGATTAATGTTGTATGGGTTAATTGTCTCAAACCTTGAAAAAAAATTCACATCCGTTGACGAATCGTTTACCGTGTACAAATATGGACCAACATACAGGAAAATCAACAGTGGACAAAATTGATTTATAACAGGTCGGCAAATTGTAAACTGTGCCAACTGAACACTCCATGGTGCGAGCAGGGAGTCACGATTGTCAGGGCCCTCTCTGTAAATTGTGAAAAATGTGAAAGAGAAAGCTCATCGGATTCCTGCAGTAAAAATAAAGATTCTGATTTTGAACTACACCACCACCGACAAAGAGCTAAGCAGCACACACTAGCTTTTGTAAAAGTTTGATATTTCAAAGAGAACACAGACCCAAAGTTCACTTTAAACTTAGTAAAAGATTTACACAATGAGTCAACCTGTGGTATAAGAATCCTGTATTCATTGTATTTATTTACCTTCTGACTGGTCTATCTTGTGCTGGCATTGTGAAGTTTAAACTTCAGGGATAGTGCAGGCATATTAGAAACGTTCTTTGGGGTTTCACCTTTGGTATGTGTAACTATGTTTATGGTATAACTGCGAATTTGTTTTGGCATCACCATTAGATGCATCCTTGAACATTCCATCTTCTATCATGCACCTCTGCCACAATGTTGCTCGTTTCTTTCAACCCTGACAATGCCTTAACATGGGTCTGTGAGTGTCAAAACATCATTTACGGTTCAAATGAAAAAGTCAATTCTAAGAACACTCGCAAATAATACTGTATGGTACAGGTATAAACATCGTATCTGTTGATGGTGCCTTGGCAGTGGTGCACTAGCAGAATTAACAAACTCAACACATTTAAAGCTTTCGTGACTGCAGTAATTCATATTCTTAGTTTTTTCGGTAAAGTCACGTTGAAGAGAAACAACAAAATAACAAAATATATATAAAACAATAAAAATTCTCACGACGTTTCGACCATAACTCAAACGGTCATCATCAGGTGTGTCGGTTTGCATAAATTTATTTTGAAAACGGCATATTTATTTATTTATATATATATAAATAACGTTTGCGTCACGCGCAACGATTGGCTGTTTGCCAGGACTAGTCCATCTATTTTTTGAAAAGAGGAGGGGGGAGACGAAATTTGTTTTTATGTATGCTGTCTGAAAGCCACTGTAAGCGTGAACAATCAATCAAGAACTGAAATGATTAATCAAATCTTTCCAATGATTGCTAAGATAGAATCCATCTTCTCGGTTGAAATTGTCTCTGTGTTTGTATATGTGGATAGCCTCATGAACGAATCTCTCATGGAAGCCAGATGGCTTACAAAGAACCTCCGTCTTGGAAAAGTCAATGGCATGTGAGCCTACTGAATTAGAACAATGATCTGCTACGGCCGAGGTGTTGGTCCTACCGTGTTTAAGGTCTGCTTTATGTTCACGAATGCGGTCCGAGATATGGCGTTTGGTTTCTCCAATGTAACTACTACCACAGAGGCAACTTAGTTTGTAGACACCAGGGTATTGTATGTCCGGAATCACATCTTTTACAGACGGAACCAGATCACGGATTTTATGTAATGTGTTGAAACGGACCTGGATCTTGTGTTTATTCAAGATTTTGGAGATCTTTTTTGTGATCCCAGCAATGTAGGGTAAAGTGATGGTTTTGAAAGGCTCCTCAAGAGGGTTCTTCTTCATGGTTTGAGTGATAGCTTTGCGGATTGTATAGTCGGAGTAACCATTAGCCCTAAGAGCTTGGTGTACGTGCTTGAGTTCACTGCTTATGTGTTCCTGGTCGGATATGCATTGGGCTCTATGATACAGAGTCTTGATGAGAGAATTCTTCTGTGATGGATGGTGGTGGGAATCCGGTTTCAGATAAGCATCCGTATGGGTAGCTTTCCTGTAGACAGAGTGGCTCATTGAACCATCAGTCACACCTAAACACATACCAGTTAATGATATAATTGCCCAAGTAGACGTTGCTCTCAGGGGCCTGGGTCACATCGCTGCAGACGTAGCAAGATCTGAAATCGCTGCAACCCTCAAAAACGCTAAGATGCCAGCTAGCAACCTCAGCAAAAATGAGCGTTTTGAATTATATAAATTAAAAAAGAGGAATGATATTGTAGTTCTCTCAGCTGACAAAGGCAATGCTACTGTTATCATGGATAAAATAGAATACAACAACAAAATTAAAGAATTACTCGACGATGGTAGTTATACAAAAATAAAAAGAGATCCCACCAACAGCCTCGTCACACAAACCAACAAAATAATTTCTGATTCAACCGCATTAATTGATCAATCTAAACAGTTTTCATTGAAACCTTCTGCTGCCAGGCCACCAAGATTATACGGCTTACCAAAAATACATAAAGTTGATACACCTCTTCGTCCCATAGTCTCTACTATCAGCTCCCCCACCTACAAACTAGCTCGTTTTTTGTCTGAAATCCTGCGTCCTTTCACTGGAAAGACCACCTCTGCGGTACAAAATTCTACTCACCTGGTATCAACAATCAAGGGTATTTCCCTGTCCCCAGACGACCTGCTTGTCAGTTTTGATGTAGTTTCCTTATTCACCAAGGTTCCTGTACCTGACACCATTGCAATCATTGAAGACTTGGTTCATCAAGGACTAAACACTGAGGTACCCCCCCTGGTGAGACACTGTTTAACCAATACATACTTCACTTGGAATGGAACTTTCTACAAACCAACTGAGGGCACCCCAATGGGCTCCCCCCTTTCTCCAGTTATAGCTAACATTTTCATGGAGAAATTTGAGACTGACGCCATCCAGACTGCCACTCTGCGCCCAACCTTATGGAAGAGGTACGTGGATGACACTTTTGTCATCTGGCCACATGGCCGGCCTGCTCTAGACCAATTCTTCGACCACATCAATTCCATACACCCAGCCATCAGATTTACCATGGAAGTCGAAATAGATGGCAAGATACCTTTTTTGGATGTCCTAATTAAAAAGAGACCTGATGGTTCAATGAGCCACTCTGTCTACAGGAAAGCTACCCATACGGATGCTTATCTGAAACCGGATTCCCACCACCATCCATCACAGAAGAATTCTCTCATCAAGACTCTGTATCATAGAGCCCAATGCATATCCGACCAGGAACACATAAGCAGTGAACTCAAGCACGTACACCAAGCTCTTAGGGCTAATGGTTACTCCGACTATACAATCCGCAAAGCTATCACTCAAACCATGAAGAAGAACCCTCTTGAGGAGCCTTTCAAAACCATCACTTTACCCTACATTGCTGGGATCACAAAAAAGATCTCCAAAATCTTGAATAAACACAAGATCCAGGTCCGTTTCAACACATTACATAAAATCCGTGATCTGGTTCCGTCTGTAAAAGATGTGATTCCGGACATACAATACCCTGGTGTCTACAAACTAAGTTGCCTCTGTGGTAGTAGTTACATTGGAGAAACCAAACGCCATATCTCGGACCGCATTCGTGAACATAAAGCAGACCTTAAACACGGTAGGACCAACACCTCGGCCGTAGCAGATCATTGTTCTAATTCAGTAGGCTCACATGCCATTGACT